GGACGAGTTGATGACGGTGAGTGTGAGATGCAAAATGGGGAGAGGAGAGGGGATGGCATAGGGAGGTTGGTGGAGAGAGTGGGAGAGTGAGGGTAGAGGAGTCAACGGAAAGGATAGGGGGAGAGTGAGAGAAAGCGGACAGCATCTCTAAGAGAGAGTGAGAGGAGAAAGAGAGGGGGGGGGTAGATAAGGCGAAGTGAGAGAAGAGCGTGGGAGACAAGGAGAATGATGGGAGTTTGGGAGGAGAGATGAGATGGGCTTAGATGGAGCGAGTGGGAGAGGAGGGAGGAGAGATGAAGGGAGGAGGGATGGGGAGAGTAGTGGGAGGAGAGTGGATCGAAGAAGGGCGAGGAGAGTAAGAGAGCGGGAGGGGGGATGAAGGGAGAGGAGGGAGAGAGTGCGTGGGAGAGTGAGAGAGCCGCTAGGAGGAGGAAGAAGAGCGGGGTGTGTTTGTGTTTGATTCACGCGTGGGACTGGAGGAGGTGAGTGCCGTGTGTGCGTACGTCTATGTGTGTGTATGTGTGCTCGTGTGTTAATGTGTGCGTGTGCGTGTGCGCTGGTGTCTACGAAGGCGCGCAAGTGTGTGTACGTGCGTGTGCACGTGTTTGTGCGTACGTGCGTGTGCACGTGTTTGTGCGTGAAGGCATTTAGAGTGTGTGGGTGATTGTGCGTGTAGATCTGTTGGTGCGTGCGATTGCTTGTATGTTTGTGTGCGTGTTTGTGTTAAGTGTCTTGTGTGCGTATTAGGTGTGTCTATCTGAGTACGTGTCGGTATGTGTGTGTGTCTGTGTTCATGTGACGGACATTTGTGTTGTCAGTGTGTCCTCGAATTAACGTGTCCCGCATATAATGAGGGAGGGTAGGCGGGGGTCGTTATGGGGAATTGGGACCCCCCCCCCCCCGAAAAAAATGGAAAACATTTAAAAGTCGCGCTCCCAGATATCAAAACCTGGACAGCGCTCAGAGAGAGCAGTGTCGGCCCAGTTCAAGGTCTGTGGTTACGAAACCGTGGCAACATCAGATCGCGCGTCTCGGAATCGGAAAGCAATTGTTGGTGGTTCAAGTCGCGTATTATAATTTTTTTCTTTCCAAAAAAAAAGACCATTATTTTTCAATTGCGTTATAAATGGTTGTTGTTGTTTTTTTTCTCACCGGTATGTAAGTCGGTATAAATAACATTACAACAAGCTGTAAATGTGATGCATTTAATGTTTGTGGAAATAACATAACGGGGTTTTGTCAAAGCGACGGATATAGCGGGGGGGTGGGGTCGGGTGCCCCCCCCCACCCCCCCGTGAATTTTCCGAGTTTTATTCTGGGACACGCAGTTTGTCGTGCGTTCTGTTTGTGACGTTTATGGTGCTGGTGGTGGTGTTGATGTGGTGGAGGCTCGTAAAGGACGCTGCTACTGGGCAGTTGTAAGGCAGTCGCCCTCCAGCAACAACGGAGTACAGAGGAGCGACGCTCACACCAACGAGCGCCGGGTAGCTAAAGCACAGCAAGTTGGCACAGTAGGGGACACAGGTGGTGCATCGGCCAGTCGTCTTAGGCAGTCGACCCATAGGCACCTGGTCTCTGTCCCACTATCTCCACCCAGCGGGCGTTCGACACTTAACGTGATCTAAACGTGCACATAGCCTGGCACAAGCGCCGTGGTGACGTCACCGCCACTTAGTGGCGAACGGCGGTTGTTGTTGTTGGTGTTTATGTTGTGATGTAACGTCTGTGTTTACAGTTGTGTCGTGAAATTGATGTTTACTCACTCTGTGATGCATGTATCGTGTTTGTGTTTACGTTGCGATGTTGCCGTCATGCCATGGTCGTGTGGGATTGATGTTTCCGTGATGTTTGTGGTGATGTTGCAGACGTTGTGCTCCTAAATTTGGCACAGGGGCCTGATTATGCTTTGCCATCAACATAATCATCACTGCCATCATTTACATCACCGATAACGGTAGGCATCTTGACGATGATGGTAGTAGTAATGATGGAAGTGTTGATTATGGTAGTGATGATGGTATTCATGATGTTGATGGTTTTTATGGTGGTGGTGGTGATGTTTGTGTTTATTATGGTAGTGATGAAGATCATGGTCGTAATGATGGTAGTATTGGTGATGGTAAAGTGATAATGATGGTAGTGAGTGATGATGATAGTAATTCATGGTAGTGAGTGTTGGTGATGGTAGTGTTGATGATGGTAGTGAGTGATGATGGTTGTTGGTGATCATATTAGTAAGTGACCATGGTGGTAGTTGAGTGATTATCGAAATGAGTGGTGATGGTAGTGATGATGACGGTAATAGGTGATGATGATAGTCGTGAGTGATGATGATGGTAGTGAATGACGGCAGTGTTGGCGATGGTAGAGTGATGATGTGGTTAGCTCCCCCCACCCCTTGTTGACGTTCACGCACCACACCAAGTTCTCATTACGGGCGAACTTAAGACCGATTTAGATCTCACTCGCCACTGACGTGGGACGTAGCCAGGAATGGAAGTCGTGTGTGTATCGCAGCGCGCTAATCACTGCGCCACCGCTCCCCAGACACAAACACTGCTGCGCAGATGCCTTCGTGGCCTGTGCGTGAGTCATCGCCGGATGACTTCAGCGCGTTTGGGGAGCAGGGTGATGGGGCGAGGGTGATCTGAGGTGATGGGGGGAGAGCGTGATGGGGAGCGGGGTGATGGGGGGGTAGAATGTAAGGTGATGGGGGGGGGATGATGGGTAGAGGGTGATCTAAGGATGATGGGGAAAGGGTGATGTAAGGATGTTGGGGAAAGGGTGATGTCAAGATGATGGGGAGAGGGTGATGTAAGGATGATGGGTAGAGGGTGATCTAAGGATGATGGGGAGAGGGTGATGTAAGGATGATGGGGAGAGGGTGATGTAAGGATGATGGGGAGAGGGTGATCTAAGGATGATGGGGAGAGGGTGATGTAAGGATGATGGGGAGAGGGTGATGTAAGGATGATGGGGAGAAGGTGATGTAAGGATGATGGGGAGAGGGTGATGTAAGGATGATGGGGTAGGGTGATGTAAGGATGATGGGGTAGGGTGATGTAAGGATGATGGGGAGAGGGTGATGTAAGGATGATGGGGAGAGGGTGATGTAAGGATGATGGGGTAGGGTGATGTAAGGATGATGGGGTAGGGTGATGTAAGGTGATGGAGAGAGGGTGGATGGGGGAGAGGGTTGATGGGGGAGAGGGTGATGGGGGAGAAGGTGATGGGGGAGAGGGTGATGGGGGAGAGGGTGATGGGGGAGAGGGTGATGGGGGAGAGGGTGATGGGGGAGAGGGTGATGGGGGAGAGGGTGATGGGGGAGAGGGTGATGGGGGAGAGGGTGATGGGGGAGAGGGTGATGGGGGAGAGGGTGATGGGGGAGAGGGTGATGGGGGAGAGGGTGATGGGATGATGGGGGAGGGTGATGTAAGGTGATGGGGAGAGGATGATGGGGAGCGGGGTGATTTCATGTGACGGGGAGAGGGTGATGAGGGAGAGGATGATGGGATGATTGGAGAGAATGATGTAAGGTGCTGGGGAGAGGGTTGATGTAAGGTGATGGGAGGGCGATGGAGGGTAATTTAAGGTGAAGTATGGAGGGTGAGTGGCGGGTGTGCGGGAGATGGTGTGTGATGGCTGGGGAAGCACAGTGCATCGGGCACTACGAACCCCAGCTCCCTGAGATCAATTCTTAGCCACGGCAAACACCGACCCGCACTGGCTCGTGTAGTGATGTATGGTCAATCTACCCACGTGGTCAACACGGCGTGGGGAGGCTTTAATCCAGCAGTGGCTATAATTGAATTACAATGCGACATCGAGACTGACTGATCTCACTTAAATTCGGAATCATCAGTGAGTTTAGCCCAGATACTTACGTAAGGTGATGAGGGAGGGTGATGTCATCAACATTAACCCTCCATCACCCCCAACATCGTCTTGAACCACGCCTCTCATCATCGCCATCGGCCCCCCGCCCGCACCATCAACATGATCAACCCCTCCCCAATCACCCATATCATCAACAACCAATCATCCACACCCTGCCTCCATCACCCACTCCACCCCCACCATCATCATCATTTGCTCACTCCCCCATCATCATCATCCCCTCCCCCATCACCCCCATCCTCAAAAAGCTCACCCCCCCCCCCTTCTTCACTCTCCTTCCATCACCGACTCCCCTACCACCCCGCCTCTCCGGGCGAGCCCACGTGGTTAGTGCAGTGCAGTACTGTACTCGAGCAGCCTGCATCGCGGTCGCCGTTGACTCGGAGCCAAGTTCCCTCCCTCTGCTCCTCGTTGCTCCTCGTTGCTCCGCTTTGCGCCTCTTCCCCCATGCGTCTGTACCTCCCAGATCGTCCCTGCACCACCTTCCCCGATTCTTATTGCGCCCTTCCGCACCTCCCTTACACCTCCTGCTTGTCTGCTTCTCGCGTCATCTCTCTGCTCTCTTCTGCAACACCTTTGCTGCTTACCCTGCACCTCCCCAGCCTCTCCCCTATGCTTCCTTGCTCCGTTGTCATTTGCTCCCCTCGCCTCGCCTATGCTCGCCCAGCCATCACGGCGCACTCCCTCCCTCTGGCCCTCCCTTGGGGTCGATTCGGCATTAAATGGGTGCCCGGTGTAGTGTGTGAACATCAACACTTGGGAGACAAAGGCGGTCGGAAGTGATGCTGGCCACCCACCGCCTCGTGTGCCATGCCGACCTAAATAGGTGCTCGCTGACAATACTAGTCCGAACAGTCTGTTAAAGGCTATATAGGGGATTTTTGTCTTTGTTTGTGTGTAAAGAGTCGCTTGTTACAGGGGTATGTGTGGTAGTACCGGTGTTGTGTAGTAGCGTTGTACAGGCGTGTGTGTGTGTGGCAGGGTTTGGTACGGGTAGGTGTGTGTGTGGCAGGGTTTGGTACGTGTGTGTGTGTTGTAGGTCTATGCGAGTCCAGTCGGGTGATCCTAACCCTGTACTCTCACATTCACTTTCCCACTTTCAGGCGGGGGGGTCCTTGGGTGCGTGTCTGTGCCTCCATCCCATGACGTGCCCAGGGTGAGAAGCCCCCACGGTGGGAGCGCGGTCCCAACACTCCAGGATCTATCGGCAATCCAGACTCCCAAGTCTCCCGGATCGAAAATCCAGGCTCCGGGATTAAAACTCCCAACACCCAAGGATCAATAACTCCAGGTTCCAGGCACCGACGCTTGAGGTTACCAAAGGCCCAGCAACCAAGACTCCAGGCTCCACAAGCCAATAATCCTCCATGCGGCGTGCTCCAGGCCCTAAGGCTCCTCCAAGCTTTGGAATTGTGGCTCCAAGCTCCCCACACTCCAGACTCCTGTCCTAATACTCCAAAAACCTGGAGCATGGATCCCCAGGATTTCTCTACGCCCGGCTCGGCGCCTCCCCCGCCGCTGAGTGCGGGGGGCCGGGTATCCTGCCATCCGGGCCCCGCTGCTGGCCCTCCTTCTCATCTTCTCTACCCCCCACACAAGTACCTGGCGGCCCTCCACCTGCAACAGAAGCCCCTGCCCAGCGCGCACCCCTCAGGTGAGATGCGGGATCCCCCACCCCTTACCCCCCCCCCCCGTAGCGAACGCGGGAGGGTTTTCCAGGTGTGGTTGTGTGGTTGGGGGTGGAGGGCCCTGTGTACTGCAGCTGAGCCTGCAGCTTGTCAAGGGGAGGATTTAATGTGGTTGCTGGGAGATTTGGAAAGTGGAGCTGGGGGGGGGGTATTGGTTGCTGGGTGTGTGCTAGGTGTGTACACGCATGCACGTGTGTTTTGTGTGCGCGCGCACATGATAGTGTAGCGGTTAGCGCTAGGAACCCGGCGACCCCAGTTACATTCCTGGCCATGGCCAACACCGGGTGACGATTATCTGAACCGGCTCGAGGTCAACTCTGCCTCAAATGAGTACCTGGTGCGCTGCGTCTGGAGACCAAAGGCGGAAGTCCGTGGTGCTGGCCACGCTCCCACTCGTGTGCCGTGCCGGTCTTCATATGTGCACTTGCCCCAACAGTCTGTGTAGGCTGTACGGGAATGTTTATCTTTTACACAAACATTAGCCATGCTTTAAGCTCGCACCACAGGACGTGACTGCACACGTTAACACGCGCGCACGCTGGTAACCACGCGTGTACCCCACATGCTAAATGGGGGTCTATTATAATCGCAATCTCACGATTACATTGTCCTAAAACACGAGTTGAGCCTTATGCGTGGATATGAATTATTTAACCAATTCTATATTTGTATTGGTGGTGACGCTAGTGCCTCGCTAGTGCCTCGCATAGCAAAAAGTGTAGAGATGTTGACTACCTCTCCGGGTATACAGGAGGTCCTGGGTTCGATCCCAATTCCTGACGCCTGTATATTTGGAGTTTTCATGTCTCTCCCCCGTAGTATCATGGATTTTTCTCCGGGTCCTCCAGTTTTTCCCCCTCCCCGTTTAGAATGAACATGCGTTTAAAAGTTGTTTTGTTGCTATAAATGTCCACGTGTTGATAAACCACTTCGTTGTGCCATCATTTGTCGCTTTTGAAAGCGTTGCATAGCTCGGTGGGCCTTACCTTGTAATGTAAAAAACTAGTTTAGTTTTAGGGAAAGCGTCTTGAGACTTAACGCTCTCCTTTTTAGAAACAAGGCTTGTATATTATTAATGCATCTTATATAAAAGAGGACTCCACAGTTTTAATCGATGTTTTTTTCTACTCTGTAGTTGACTAAACTTAACGTAACTACACTCGTGCACAAACCCCAATACGTGTACACACAGACTCGTGGAAACTCAACACAGGGACGGATTTCCCCCCCCACCCCCATCCGTATAGCCTGAACCGACTCGTAGGCAAGTGCTGTTAGCGAGCACCTCATGTAGGGTGCCAAACGGCACATTGGGGGGGTGGTTGGCCAGCATCACGCCCGGTCGCCTTTGTCTCCCCAGTGGCGATGTTTACACCGCACTAAAAACTCATTTTGAGGCGGAGTCGATCTAGGCGGGGGAGGCGCAGGACCGGTTCAGATAATCGTCACCGGTGTTGATCGTGAGCGGGAATTGACCTCGGCTGGCCGGGTTCGTAGCGCAACGCGCCAATCGCTACACTACCGCTCCCCCACAGCACGTGTGTGTGTGTGTGTACATGCACATGGGCACGTCACCCACGAACCCGCCTCTCCACGTGTGTGTGTACACACGCGTGTGCATCCACAATAGACTCGCATGTAGGCACCCATAATGTCACACCATGGGGGCAGGTCGTGGTTTTGAAGAAGTGAGGGGGGGGGGGTGAGAAGATGGAGAGAGGCGGGTTTCGTGGGAGACGTGCAGAAGAGGTAATGAGAGCAGGCGAGAAGACGAGGGAGATGGGTGGGGGGATGAAGGGTAGGCGGAGATGTGGATATGGGGAAGAGGACGGAGGGAAATTGCAAGAGGAATGAGAAGAGCGAGGTGGGAAAAGAGGGGACAGATGATTTTGCCAAGCCCGGTGCAGCAGCGGCGTTGTCGAGTTTCACGAGGAATCTGTGGGGGAGCAGCAATGTGGAGTTCATGTCCCCCCCCCCCTCTCTCCCTGCTCCCCCCCCCCCCCTCGTATAAGGGGGGCTTCTTGCGGGAATGAGGAGCCTGTAGGGGAGGGGCTGTTGGGCACAGGCTCCTATCCCCTCCCCTCCACCCTCAATACAAAGACCCCCTCCCACCCCCCACCCTCCCTTGTGTTTGCACTTGGGGTCTAAACTTGAACCGCGTCGGGCGAGGGGGTAGGGGACCCCTGTCTGGCCGTGGTGCTGCTGCTGTGGTGGGGGAGGCGGGGTCATTCGGGGACACGGGGCGTGGGAAGGTGGTGGCGGTGGTCTGATGGAGGTGTGGTGGATTTGGTGGTGTCGTTGAGATTGCGGGGTGTGTGGTTGAGATGGTGGGCAGTGAATTTCTGTTGGCGTTTATTGAGATTGTGGTGGGGGTGGTGTGAATTTTTGGCAGCTGCTCTAGTGGTGGTGGTTGTTTATGGTAGTTGGTGAGTACAGTGGCGGTGGGAGGTTGTAGTTGATGTTGCTACCGTTGTGGTGACGAGTACAGTTGTGGTGGTAGTTGTGGTGTTGGTGGCGGAGCAGCTATTGTCGTGGTGATGTGGTTGTGGTGGTGATCGGGGGGGGTGGAGGGAGGCACCACAATTGATGTAGAGTGGGAGAGGCCCGTCGAGGGGGTGGAGAGGAATGCATTGAGAGAATCGGCCTCTCCCTGTACCCCGCCGCGACTCTCACGGGCCCGAGTGAGAGCGTGCTGTGAAGGAGTGTGTGTAATGAGTGCTTGTGTGGGGAGCGGTGGCGCAGTGGTTGGCGCGCTACGAACCCGACGAGCTCCTAGCCAAACATCGGTGACGTATCTCTGAACCGGCCCTGGCACTGCGTCTAAAACGGCAGCACACTCTCGCCCCTCTACCCACTGGCGAGACTAAGGAGGTTCTAGCCACGCCAACACCACTTGCCCCCAACAGTCTGAGGCTATACGGTGGCGTGCTTTGTATTTTGTATATAAATGTGAGTGTTGAGAAATACGTTTTACACGAGTTAAAAAAACTAAATCTAACCCAGTGGATGTCGGAGGTGGGAAGCAGTGGTTTAGTGCACGGCCTTGGAAAATCTGACCTTGCGTTTTTAGATTTTGCGAGTGATATCTGAACCTGTGGTTTGACCTTAAACAGTAACTGGTTGCTTTTGACGGCCCCCTCCCACCCGTGCTGCCCTGAATGGGTGCTTGCTAACAACACTTTCCCTAAACGGCCTTGTTTAAAGGCTACACGGGGAATACTAGTTGAGGTTTAGGTTTTTCAGCGCGTGCATTTATGTAATTGGAGTACTGTGCATGGAGAATACGAACTTGTGTGTTTTTTTTTTACTTTTGTTGGAGCTACTGAGGACCAGGGGCTCAAAGCGGCCAGCTACAAATCGCATGATCGATGTAACTGAGCGGAGTGTAACGCGAATCTTTGTCCAGAAATCCATCTTCATTTAGACTGCAGGAATCTGATGAGAGTGACTGCCAGTGTGGTGAGTGGGTGAGGTGTGTGAGCTGCAGCATGGAGGTTGAACACTGGATAGACTAAACAAAACATCTGATGCATAAGCTTAGTGTACTTGTGACGGTTTCAGAGGCTGTACATTGTGTGTGTGTGTACGAGGTTGCATGTAAAGGTGTGTCCATGAGATTGAGCGTTTACACGAAGTGTGTATTGTTTGAAGGGCGTTGAAGAATAAACGAGAGGGGGCTGGGTTATTAACCAAACACCAACGGCCACATCCAGCGTGACATCCACTCGCCCCCTACACCCTACACCCTTACCCGCGCTCCTAAGCCCACACCCATAAAAACAACCCTCCCATAAGACCACCCCCACTCACATACCCCCTCCTCCACTCCACAAATCCCCCCCCCCTTACTCGCACCCACAGAGGAAGTGTAAAGTTGGGAGCCCGATGATGGGGGTGTGACGACAACTAATGGGCACAATCACTCGGGATAACCTGTAACAACAACACCTGGATCTGTTCCTCGTGACCTGCAAGGGGCAGCGAGTCTTCCACGCCTCGCGGTGAACCGAGTCTGGCACAAGTTGTCGTGGTGAAGACACCGGCCACTTGGTGAATGGCGGCTCTTGTGGTTCTTCTGAAACGACAACCAACTCCACCACACCTGCCATCACAATCACCGCCGCTACCACCCCCACCGTCTGGATCGTGTCTGCAGAAGTCGTTAGGAGCTATGGTGGCCATACAAAGTCTGCGTGTGGTAGATTGCCGTGCCCGGGGATGAGTGCTTTTTATGCCGGGAAAGTTTTTGGAGTCTAATGACTGTCTTTCAGGAGGATCTTACCATTTTTTTTTCAATAGCAGACGACGATTGTTGTGTAGATTGCAATCGAGTAATTGTGTGCGAACTCTATTGTGTCGTAGGGAGCGGCACTAACGAACCCGGTGACCTGAGTTCGATTCCCGCTCGCCTCCAGAACGGTGGCGAATGTGCAAACTGGTTCTCGGCCTACCCTAGGTCGGCTCGGCCCTAAACGAGTACCCTGTGTGACCATGTAAACATCGGCACTGGGGAGACCCAAAATGGCCGGGTGTGGTGCAAATGGTACTTGCCCAAAGGCTATATGGGGGAGCTTTGTCTTTCTGCATGTGTAGGGGGAGATGGTGAATCACTGGTTCAGTCTGATCAATTTTTATAACGGTTTCCAATCAAGGGGTGAAAGCATTAACGATGCAATTTTAGTTGTGTAACGTGCAGTTGCCATAACTCCTTAAGACGATTCGGTATGAACGAACACTTATCGTTCAGTTGTATTGCTACTAGCTGCTCGCTCTAGAGAAAATTGGCAAAAATTGATGGAACGGTTCCTCCCAAAGGGGGTTTCCCAAAACATGGTGACATCCTCTGGGAATGCGTGTGCCCGTCACCCGCCATGTAGTCTCCCTTCTCAACTTTACACGCCTTGTTACCGCCAATCAAATTATTCAGAGGGTAAGCCATGTGTGTGCATGCTTTTTTGTCCTTGTATTTCCGTGGATGCTACGTGCATAAATACTAGTGGCCATGGGTGGGGGGTGGGTCCACGTCAACTGATTGTGCAGAATATAGATTTTTTTTTTTTAAAACCCACGTTAAATTTTGCACATCGTTTGCCGAAATGTATCGTGAGCTTGACAGGCGGCCGTGCGGGGATCGCGTTTGCTGCGAGTCACGAGGTCTGTGATTCAAATCCAGGAGGCAGCCCTGGTCCATTTCTAGCACTGGTTTAAAACCTGGCTTTTGTTCTAAATGATAACAATGTGAAAAATGTTTCCAATGTTTCAAGGACCTTCTCAATTGTGGCACCTGAATTCTGGAATGAATGTCATCTCTTCCAATCCAGCCTTCTTTATCTGCATTTGAGGGCATTGGTATACGGCGACTACTACCACGCTTGAATGCCATTTGTAAAACCAATTGACTGGAGCTTGAGGCTTGATTTTTCAAATTGCGGAATTGCAAATAATTCTTTTTTTTTAAATACCACGCGATTTTTTTTTCCTCTCGCCAGTGTCAAGGATAATTTGGTTATTTTTGGATTTGCAGCTTTACTTCCTTTTTATACATAGTTCTGGTGTTTTGTTACTTTCCTATTTATTTTTTATGAGTCATCTTAACATTCCCCTGCTTTTGTTCTTTCCCCCTGCACAAACCCTCCCTTTCCTATCTGCCGTTCTTGCTACCGCATCGACCATTCTAACCTTGTCACCATGGGAAAAAATGAGCTTCTAAGCTCCAATGGTCCTTGCCCAAAATCGAACCGATTTTGCCACGATGCGCGTATGAACAGTAACGACACCAAGTGCCGTCTGCTTTTACAGCGGACCGTTAAAATCCCGTGATGTCACTCAAGTGTCGGCCATTGCATGCGGGCGTCGCATGTCCATGTTTTCCAAATTTTAAAGAATTGCACCCCAAATTGCACATTTTTTTATCTACGTGGCCATTCTAATTCTCCCCCCCCCACCGCCAAAAAACTTGGCAGGACCCTCCTGAAAAGGATTTGTGATGGAGGGTAAACAAGTGGGGGGGAAAAAAAAATTCCATAACTGTGAATCCCTTTTTTCTCCACCCCCCCCCCCCCCCACCCGCATGCTGCTGCAGGGAGCCCTGGCCTAGGGGCGTCCACTGCGTTCCTGGGTAGCTTCTTGGGGGGTCCTCTGGGTGCTTCACTGGGAGGAGGCTCAATGGGTGGCTCGGCCACACCACCCGCTATGTCGGTCTCTGCTGAACGTGGATTCCAGACGGCACCACAGGGCGGCATGACGCGCGTGTGGGCACCACCACCACCACCACACGACGGTGCGTAGTGTGCGTGAACGGTAAGACTAGTGGTTCGTGCACTGCGCTATGAACCTGGCGACCCCGCGTTCAATTGGAGCTGGTTGATGGTGATGTAAATGATGATGAAATGTGCAGGTGATGGTGGAGACAAGTGGTGCTGGTAATGAAGCTTGCAGTGATGAACATGTGATTTTTAGGATGATGATTGTGGGGGGGGGGGGGCCGGTTGTGTGCTCACGGCTGTTATACAGGCTTCTCCCATTTGCCGAGCAGTGGGGGGCTCTACCCCCCATACCTTGCTTTGGGACCACTGGACGGCACTGGGCCCACGGCGTCCCCCTGTCTGTCGCGGCCGCACGACCCCCACACAGGTACGCCGCACTTCTGGCCAGTCACGATTTTGACCCCACCACGCTAGGCCACCTGTAGCAGCGGTTGGGTGGGGAGATGTGCACTCGCCGGCGCCGTTCCCAGTGATGCGTCCGCGGCGGGTCTCCTCTCTCTCTCTCTCCTGGCAGACGGTGCGTTCGGCGGGGCTCTGCCGGTCCAGCCCGTTCTCCACCGTGATGTCGTAGTGCCGACAACCTCCCGGGCGCCGCGAGAGGGGCGGGCGCTGGCACGGACCGGCGCCCGTGACTCTGAGCGGCCCTCGTCAGCCAGCGGTGCGCCGAGGGCAGTGCGGGGTGATCGCCGGGGCAGGGCGGGCACCGCCCCGGCGGGGGAGCCCCCCAACCGCGATGGGGCCCCTGCCTGGGATGCCGGCACCAGAGTCGTCTGCTCGGTGCAACCGCCAGGCAGAGTTGGTGACGGCGGCGCCAGCGATATGACGAGATCCGGCGATGCCAAACCGGCGAGGGTGGCGCGGTCACACTCCATGGGTGTCGGCGGAGACGGGTTCGCCCCGGACGAGAGGGACGACGCAGTGGGCGCCGGGGTGAGATCGGCAAAGCCCAGGGAGCGCCAATGTGCCGGCGCCATTAGCTCCTATGCATCATGCGGGCTGGGCCACCCAGGGCGACTGCACCACAACTTGGTAGTCCACGGCAGCGGTGGCGAGCACCGTCCGGTGGCGCCCACGTACATGCTGTCGGCGGGCCACCAGGACGCCGATGGCGGTGGTGCCGCTGCTCGGTACGACCTCGCCGCGTGGCAAACGCAGCGGCCCCCCATGCTGCTGGCGCCGGAACCCATGCCTGGCGAGACGCCGGCTATCAGAGGCCTCCTGCAGTACAGCGACTCGTTCTCCTCGTCGGCGTCGGCTTCGTCGTCGTTGTCTTCGTCGCCGTCACCGTTTGTGCCGTCCAACGGTGCCACTGCCGCCTCCGGTCAGAGGAGTCCGTTCGGTGGGCTGGGCCGCGTGCCGCGAGGCCCCGACGGTACAGCGGGGCCGGACACTTCCAGTGCTTGCGGTGACGCGTGCCACCCCCCGAGTGACGCGGCCGCCCCTTCAGTCGGCGCTGGCGAGGTTAGACACCCGCCCGTTGGTATCGCCGTGGCGGTTGCCAGGCAGAGGGGGGATCATCACCACCACAACAATAACCACGAGCAGCACCACGATGACAATCGCCATAACTACGACAACAACAGCCACAACCAGCAGCACCACACTGCTCTGAAGTCTCGGGCAGGCACGCCCTCTTGCACAGCCTCGTCTGGTGGTGCTGCTGTGTCAGCCGGCGGTGGTGGCGATGGTGGTAGTGGAAGTAGCAGCGGGTTCCAGACATCCGATCGCAGGGTGCGGCACCCAACTCCTACTGGCGTACCCAAGGGTAAAACCCACTTGATCCCAGACCTAAGCTGAACCTGACCTTGTATGTATGTTGAACTTCTTTAGGAACGTATGTATGTTGAATTTCTTTAGGAACGTATGTAGCCAACCGTGCTAATCGGAGGTGCAACCTTGCCTGCTCTAACCAGACCAACTGTCTCTGTGTCCTCATCTCTATGTATGCATGTGTCCCTATGTCTTCGTATTGCACTGATTCTGCTTCCTGTGGCCAACAACAACCAGCACTGCTGAATTTATACATTTGAAAAGAGTTCATAGGGCTGTTCGACGTGGTTCTGACCACGCCACTTTGGCCTTCATAGGTGCTCACTAGCTACACTTACCCCAATAGTTTGAGCCCATAGGGGGTTCTTTGTTCATGTGTGTGTGTGCCTGCATACGTGTGTGTGCCTGTGTGCGCGCGCGTTTTAAAATTAAGTGGCGTTTGCCACGATGTTTTTTTTTGAGCGCAGGAGATGAGATCATGTGTACGCAGCTGTCTGCTCAATAGCGCCATTGTTGCGCTGCCACCGCCACCGTCGCGGTGAGCGGCGCGGGTTTAATTTAATTCGCTATCGTGACGCCGCACCGGCAGATTTCAATCTGCAGCAGAGCGCAAACAGGTTGCGGGGAAATGGGGCCCCGTACTGACAGACGCGGGCACTTGCAGAGGCGTGGAGAGACCAGAGGGACTGACGAATACGAAGAGGCAAAGATCGTGGCACAAGTGGTGAGATGCAGGGACAGCCTAATGAAGAGACTGGAAAATGCATCCAGGACAGAAACATAATTGTGGACTGAACGATAGAGGGTAGGAAGTAAGAGTGAATAGATAGATGGGGGAACGGACAGAACAACAGACGCGGACGGACAGACTGGGTTAGAACCATTGCACGGGTTGTCTTCCCAGCTTCTCCGGTTTCCTCGCACACAAAGCCAAACACTCGTCATTAATAATGGAATTGGTCAATCATCCCAGTACGGCAGAACCCGCCTGAAAAATGAGTCTCTGGACAAAGCAAAGTTATTTCGTGCGTTTTTATGAATGCAAAACTTTTTGGGTTTGTGCGGCGTTCAAATGTGGCCGCAGCTCAAGATGCTGCACAAACAGTGGGCGTGTGAATGTGTGACCCTTTCAAAAACCGCAAATGGCCAACTCTGCTCACCGCATGTTTGTTTCATCGTCTTAGAATGCATCTGGTTTCTATCTGGATCCTAATGTGAGTAACTATAAACTAAACCTAGATTTTGTTTTACCAGGTAAAGCCCACCTGAGCTATGTAGCGCTCTTTTTTTTCAGAAGCGAACCTGGCCACAAATGATAGTTCAACGAAAGTGGCTCGTGGGACTTTGTAGTGGCAGCCAAATGCTCTAACGTACGTCTAAAAATGTGGAGGGGGAAAAACCAGACCTGGATAAAAAAAAATTCAGACCGAGAGGCATGCACACTTAATATACACAATGGGTGCCTGAATCGAACCCACGACCTCTTGCATACCAAGTGAGGTAGTTAATATCTCGCCACCGTGGCACTTATGTGAGAGGGAAGCAGAGAAGAGATCACGAACGCCCGGGCTTTGGGTAGGGAGTGGACGACAGTCAGCTGGGGGAAGGGAGAGATCCAGTGTGGGGGTGATGGAGGAGAATGGGTGACGGCACAATAGAGGGCTTCACCCGTCGCGACTCTGCTCCGATCTGTTTGAGAAATACAAAGGTGGCGTGGGGAGGAGCCTCTGCCAACGGGGAGCGGCATGGAGGGAGGAGCAGGAGGTGAGGTGGGGGGCAATTGGAGATTCGTTGGGGGGGTGGGTCAGGGGCATTGGGGGGGAGGGAGTGGGGGAGCCGGGGGAAGGAGAGGACTTGTCACACCAATCTCCACTTTCGCGCGACCTCCACGTCTCGGTTTTCAGCCGGGAACGCGAAGTGACGACGCACTGATGCACAACAACAGCACGGTGTACGTTGGCATTAATAGGTGCTCGCTCGCAGCGCTGCATGAGTGACGTAGTGTGGTTTGAGCGGTGGTATCTATGGTGTGGGCAGTGGTGGTGTTTGTGGTGCCGAGGTTTGTGGATGGTGCGGTGTGCGCTTTGCCTGGCACATCAGCCTGGTGATGTCGCCTCCACTCAACGGCGGTTATTGTGGTGGTATGCGTAGGGTAGGGGGGGGGATCTCCGTGGTGTGTAAGGTGTGTGGGGAGCCACTGCTTTTTTGTATCTTGTCTCTTCTGTGTCCATCTGTCTGCATCTGTACGTCCATGTACTGTACCCGTATGTGCATGCGTATCTTTATCTGTGTCCACACGCGTGCATCTGGTCCTGGGCCCCGCCTAGGTTTACCGGTGTGTTGTCGTAAACATCGCCACTAGGGGGAGACAAGTGGCCAAGCGTGGTGCTGCCCCCCCCCCACCCCCTTATGTCATGGCCTTCCGAGCTACTACTCGCTAACAGCACTTGTCCCAGCAGTCTGTTAAGGCTATACAGGGGGTCTTTGTGTGTGTGTGCGTGCGTGCAGGCTGTGTCCACGCAGGCCCAGTGCCAGAAGCACTGGAGGAGGAGAGGGTGGCACGTGACCATGCAACCGAGCGAGCGCGGGAGCGTGAGCAGCTGCTCAGGTGAAGACCCATTAGCCCCCGAAATGCATCGCCCGCTCCACCTCCTTCGCTCTCCAATGGCGCTCGTCCTGGGTATAAACTGCCCTCGCTGCAGGAATATGGAGTTTCCATAACTTGCTGAGGACCCTGTAGGAGATTTAATGCAATCCCCTGACCCCCTACTCCCCACCCACCATGGCACTATTGGTGTGTGTCTTTTGGAAGGCGAGGTTGTAATATAAGTAGTGGTGTGGGGTGACGAATGGAGTAAGCAACTTGGAGGTTGTGAACGGAACATGGCATATCGGAATTGGTATCGGTGAATGATTGAAGCGGGCAGTGTTCCCGATGCAAATGCCTGCCACACTAGGTAATCCCACGATTTAAGCAAATAGTTTAAAAGCAAAATTTGTGTACAGAATCCAAACGAATTTGAAAAAAAAAGCGTGACTTTAGCCTTTTAACTTGATATTGAGTTTTGTAATTCAAGGGTTAGCGATTTGTTGACGCTGAATCTCGTTTGTGCTCGTACCCCTCTCTGCTGGGGGGGGGGGGCGGTCCCTGGGAACAGGGAGAACAAGGAGTTGGCGGAGTTTGCGCGCAGCCTCAGGCCTACCTCGTTCGCCGACCTCGACCCCAACCTCGTGGTGACCACCGGAGGTGCTGCCCCTATCATGCACGCTGGCCAGTGGGGAGAGCTCAATGCACCGCACGCTCACGTCGCCCCGCACCTTTGGCTGCCGAGGACCGACAGTCCCTCGCTTTGGCTCGGGGCACCGCCCTATGGTGAGTGATTCCACCCACTCCCCCAGTTGCTCCACCCATGGGCCCCGCCTTTTCAAGAGTCGCTTGAATAGATTTTATCGGCCTCTCATTCTCCTTTTGCTGCCCCCACAGTCTGGAACTCTCATCCCCCCAACAGCCCATACTGTGCACTCCCTGCCCCTGTTCAAGTCCATGATGATCTTCCTCATCTTGGCTTCCTACGAGTCTGCCTCTCTCCCTCCCGTAGACTCACAGACTCTTTGCCTTGCATAGACCAATCTACTCCCGCAGAAACTCGGACACACACAGATCTACCATTTATCTTTTACATATGTGGGTCTATAGCTCTCTCTCTCTCTGAGTCTCCTATGGTAGCATGTATAACTCCACATCATACCTAGTTTTATAGACATGTCTCGTAGACAATTATTTGAACCGTAGATGCCGCCTGCAGATTGACAGACTGCGTTTTTGGCGTAAGTTAATCACCGGTGCTTCCCTCCCCATGCATGTGTGTGCCCAGGCCTGGGTGGCCTCTCTCTCCACCAGAGTATGGCAGGAGCGTTCCCTCCCGGCCTGGCGGCGCCGCCTGCCACTCCAAACTACCAACTTGCGCGCGACCCAACCACAGGCCACCTCGTTGTGGTGCCCGCCGACTTCCCCTCTCACTACGGTAGCATTCACGCCTCCACATGCAGCCTTGCACGCACGCACGCACGCGCCCACACACCCACTAACATCCTGAGGCTCGGCTTTGAGGCTGTCTGCTTAAGCTTTGGGCCTAGAGCATCGCATCCACTAGATCCCGTGGACCAGTGATAGGAGAACCCCTCCCTCCCACTGGGCCGCGCACCGCGTGATCGCTCTCGGCGTGATCGCACAGTGCTCGCCACGTGGGTCGCACGCTGTGCCACGAACCAAGCCCGGCGACGGCTAATGTCCAGTGGCCAGCGCTGTCCGAAATAGTGCTGGGTCACCCACCTTAATCTCGTCCGCACTGACCAACGGGGTGAAGTACGGTCCTACAGCCCTCGTGACCGGCACTGTGTGCGCGTCCTCGCAATGACCCCATTCCCCCTCCGCCAGCGGCAGAACTTCTGGAGCGAACGCCACCCCCGCTGTGGCCACCGCTGCTGGCAGGGGGGGCACCCGCCCCCCACCACCACCACCACCCCCTGTCGCTCACCTACCAGGCGATGCTGCGCCAGCACGAGCTATACGTGGCTCATCAACAGGCCACGGCCGCGGCAGCCAGCGCCCACGCCCTGCAGCTGCAGCACACCCCGCACATGCAGGCGAGTGACTGTAGAGTGGTACAGCGAGGTCGGGTGTATCCCAAGTTTGTCGGCTGCTGAATATTTTTTCGAGTGCCGTGTGTATTACCTGTAATATGGGGGGGAGCGGTAGGATGGTGGGATAGCACAGCCAACATCGGTGACGGATAACTGACTTAGTCCTGGGCCTCCCTGAGATCAACTCGACCATAAATTACTATCTGTTGCGATGTGTAAACATTATCTTGGGAGGCGTGGTGCTGAACATATTTAAATAATCGGCTCTTGTTATACATTTGGGCTTCTTTGGATAAACAACGCAACACGCACACAAACCTGAAACAGATTTGAGATCTCGTGTAGTGTCTGATGACTTGGAAGATAGAGCCTGGTTTCATGATACTTTTTGGAGACTGCCTTGGAATGTCAGAAATATCAGTACAGCTTTGCATTCCTAAATCTCGTGGCTTACCCCTCTCGCAAAGTCAAACCTCAAACCCGTGCGTTGTTCGACCACACTCATAAAATCGACAACAAAGCTGCCAAGTCGCGTGACCGCTGTCTCCATGTGCAGGACCACGGAAGGCCGCCCCCAGAGCCGCCTCCGCTGCTGCTTTCCGACGAAAACGATCGCGCAACACCGGCGGTGCTGCCCAAGCAGAGCGCAGTCTCCCCGCCGCCCACGCTGCCCGGCCCGAGCCCCTTCCACGCCGGCTCCCTTGCGCTGCCGCCACCGCCGCCCTTCCGGTGTAAATCCCCCCGACGCCCGGGGCCCCCCCCCTGCCCTCAATCACGCAAAGCCCAGTTCCCCGGACGACGCCGGGCCTCCCCCGCGGCTGCGCCGGGAGGACGATGGCCAGGAGGCGCCTGCGCCACTGGGACGGCCGGGCTCTCTGTCGCCGCCGGCGCTATCGCCACGGCAACTACAGCCCGGCAACGCCAAGGGCGGACAGAGGGTGGCCAGGGATCGGAGGTCGCCGGCGCGGACTTGGAATATCCGGCGCCCCCATTCGGTTCCACCGTTCCTGGACAAGCGACTTTCGGGAATGGCACAGCAGCAGCACGTCGCAAAGCTGCACGATGCACAGCATCACCAGCAGCTGGACGCAGTGCATCATCAGCAGCTGCACGAATCGCAGCACCACCATCAGCATCGTCAACAGTATTCGGAGCGGCAGCAGCTGGAAAAGCACGACCAGCGGCAGCAGCTGGAAGAGCGGCAGCAGCTGGAAGAGCGAGAACGGCAGCAGCTGGGGGAGCGGCAACAGCACCAGGAGCGGCAGCAGCTGGGGGAGCGGCAACAGCACCAGGAGCGGCAGCAGCTGGGGGAGCGGCAACAGCACCAGGAGCGGCAGCAGCTGGGGGAGCGGCAACAGCACCAGGAGCGGCAGCAGCTGGGGGAGCGGCAACAGCACCAGGAGCGTCAGCAGCTGGGGGAGCGGCAACAGCACCAGGAGCGGCAGGAGCTGGGGGAGCGGCAACAGCACCAGGAGCGGCAGCAGCTGGGGGAGCGGCAGCAGCAGCTGGGGGAGCGGCAGCAGCACCAGGAGCGGCAGCAGCTGGGGGAGCGGCAGCAGCACCAGGAGCGGCAGCAGCTGGGGGAGCGGCAGCAGCACCAGGAGCGGCAGCAGCTGGGGGAGCGGCAGCAGCACCAGGAGCGGCAGCAGCTGGGGGAGCGGCAGCAGCACCAAGACCGGCAGCAGCTGGGGGAGCGGCAGCAGCAGCTGGGGGAGCGGCAGCAGCTGGGGGAGCGGCAGCAGCTGGGGGAGCGGCAGCAGCTGGGGGAGCGGCAGCAGCTGGGGGAGCGGCAGCAGCTGGGGGAGCGGCAGCAGCTGGGGGAGCGGCAGCAGCTGGAAGGGCAGCAGCAGCACCAGGAGCGACAGCAGCTGGAAGGGCAGCAGGGGCAGCAGCACCAGGAGCGACAGCAACTGGAAGGGCAGCAGGGGCAGCAGCACCAAGAGCAGGACCGGCAGGGGCAGCTAAAAGAGCAGGACCTGCATCGGCAGCTGCAAGTGCATCGTGAGGAGTTGCAGGAGCAGCTGCGGCAGCGGCGGCTGGAAGCGCAGCAGCGACGGCTGGAACGGCAGCTACATGAGCAGCTGCAAGAACGACAGCGGCAACGGCGGCTGCAAGAGCATCAGTATCAGCTGCACGAGCAGCAGAGGCTGCAGATGGAGAAGCTTTTGCTGCATGAGCAGCAAAAGCAGCACATACGTCAACTGCAACAAATGCATCGGCAGCCGCAGGATGAGGTGGCGGCGTTTGGTTCTGGGAGGGGATTCCTGCTGCCCCATGGCCTGCTGCCCCCCTCTTCGGCATCGTCGGGACTTCCGTGGCCTCCCCCTCTGTGCCGACACGGTGAGTCCGGTAGTCTGTCTGTGAGCTCGTGCCGTTTCCTGTGACCGTGGTTGGGGGATTTTACCCGGGTGTGGCGGTGGTGGTGATGAAGTGCTTTGGAGACGAGAGTTGGTGGATCGTACGGCTTTTTGAAACTTGCAAACTTCGACAAGTAGATTTGTGGACTTGTCTACCTGGAGGGATTATCACTCCTACCCCAGTTTCTTCCCACGGGAAACCAAACCTTACTTTAGGATAATAAAACGACATCCTAATGTGATTATCATCCTCCCTGGAAGCCTGTTCTTTCAGCCTTTCCAGCATAAATAATTAAGTAACTTTACTGTTGAAATCCCATTTCAAAGCTTTGTCATTTGGTCCCTTGAACACATTTGTTTTGGACCTGCTGTCCCACAATGTGGAGTTTTTGTGCCGTCTTGTCTCCCCTCGTTTGTCTCCTGGAGTTCTCCTTCCCTGTGCCATTTCGGTAACCTCCTTAGCATCTCCCTTTCCCAGCAGACGGAATCTCCGCATTCTCCCCTCCGCCAACCTGGGCCTCGCGGATCCTGCAGCCCGTCGCCACAGAGACTGTGGCGCCAGAGTCGTGCCGGATGAAACGGAGGCCCCAGTCGGCAGAGCTGTCCTCCACCGTGCCAGAGTCATTCGGCGCCGAGAACGGTAACAACGACGCGAAAACTCCCGTATGGCAAGGTGATGTCACGGCGGGACGGCACGAGACGATGGAGCCAGACTCCACGGACGCCCCCGTTCCCACCGGACGCAACACCGATCTCATTGTCTCCTCGACGTCATCGGTAGCGGTGGCCGGCATCCTTGAACCGACACAGCGTCGTCGTCGGCATCGTCACCGTCACCATCACGATCTCCAGGATCTCCATCGGCGTTACGAGGAGGAGGAGCAGCAGCAGGTGAGGCTGCTTGACGACGGAACACCGGGCTGTGCTGGGGCTTCCCAGCCCGACCCAGGGCTCCCCGACAGCACTCCCGCTACACCGGCTGTGGAGGATGGGCACGGCCCACCGCCGCTGCCCACCACCGTGGCTCTGCAAAACCAGGGCAACGACGCAGATGCTTGTGCCCCGCCGGGGTGCCGCCCCGCCTGCACGTCGCCGCCGGGGTGCCGCCCCGCCAGCGCGTCGCCGCCGGAGTGCCGCTCTGCCAGCGCCTCGCATCCGGAGTGCCACCCCGCCTGCACGTCGCCGCCGGGGTGCCGCTCTGCCAGCCCGTCGCCGCCGGAGGGCCGCCCCGCCAGCCCGTCGCCGCCGGAGTGCCGCCCCGCTTGCACGTCGCCGCCGGAGTGCCGCCCCACCAGCGCGGGGCTGTGGGTGCTAGCGGAGGCGACGGCTGTCGCCGTGCCCCTGCCTGTGCCGGTTGCTCCCCTCAACCACAACGGAGCCGACGGCCAATTGCCACCGGAGACGAAAGCGCTGTCCACGCCATGTGTGGACGAGCAGTGGACGCGCAAGGGAGGGCTGGCACTGCTGGGGGAGATTGCTGGGGTGGAGCTGGGGGCGTTGGCAGAGGGCGGCTTCATGGGTGAGTGAGATGAGTTTGCAGTGGCGCTGCCTCCAGTCTATTTTATCGATTCGCTGCTCCCGATTTTTTTCTGCAGCTCTTGATCAAAATAGTAATTCGCGCCATCTTGCAGAATGCAAGCAACAACAGAAACAAGTGGACAACGTGCCCTCCACATATCTGTCTCTCCACAAGAAAACCTAAATATTGTACCTCGTCAGCCTGGGTGTCGCAGAGGATTCTCTCCTTCAAAAATGTTGGTGGTTCACCAGCATTGGCTTGCGCAAGCCTCTGCTGACAAGACACCAATGTTGAAACCATTCCAGAGTTGAGCTTGTGTTACTGAAATTCTGCACTCCCAGGTGGCTGTACCTAATGAAATGCGTGAACAAACACTTGTATTTAGTTTATGTATGGATTATTTGATTGCAGTTGTGGATCGATGGGCGCCAACTCGCGTCGCATCCGTGTGACGCTCCCTCCCACTGCCAGAACCATAGCGCGATAGTCGTTGGCTGCAACACGCCAGAGAGTGTAAAGAAGCGTGCTTGGCATTTGTACTGAGACCCAGAGGAATACGTGGGGGATTAAAGAATGCACACAGGTTACAGACATTGCTGACTGCTGAGAAAACTAAGTGGATTGGGCAGGACACATCACGGATAGAAAGGATAATGGCCTGGTGGTTGAGACTAATGACGGTGACTACCAAATATAAGGTACTCCATGATAAAGGTTTTTGGGTTAGATCGCGACACGATCAATCGGTAAAAAAAGTGTCGCGTTGACAAAAGACAATTGGTTCACTACTTTAGCCCACTGGTGTGTTGAGTGAATCCACAACATTTACAGTTTTTGAGCGACGTTTCGCTGGTAATTACATCCAGCATCATCAGGCAATTCGCCGGACTAGTACAGTATTCTGGCAAATTGCCCGATGATGCTGGATGTAATTACCAGCGAAACGTCGTACTCAAAAATTGTAAATGTTATGGATTCACTCTTCATCATACCGGTGGGCTAAAGGTAGTGAACTATTTGTCTTGTCAACATGACACTTTTTTTTACTGATTGGGTCGGGTGGTGGAGGGTTGCGACACATTCATAAATAACGCGATCTAACCCAAAAACCTTTTTATCATGAATAATATTAGTCGCGAAAGGCCTACGTGATACAAGGTGCTCGTCTGAAATGGAGTGAATGTATCGTGGCTAATAGTGATGGTGGTACTGCCCCCAATTTTGCTGCAGGGCGGAGCGGGGGACTGGGTGACCTCTTGACCCTGTGCCGTGTGGCCGCGCTGCTGGCCTGTGCCGATGGCATCGCCACAGGAGACGGAGGCCCTGGGCCTCGGAGGCCCCAGCACCGCCTGGACCCCACGAAGCGCTGCAGCTGGCGGCGGCGACGCGGCGCGCCGGTGGGTGGGGCATGCACGGCGCGTCGGCGCGTCGGCGTGCTCGTGCCGATCTGCGTGTGATATCGCGGTGGCGTAGCGTTTGGCGCACCGCACCATGAACCCGTAATGATGGGTCCTCCATCGTATAATAAGCAATTCTCATTGGTCGTGAGAGCTCCCTGGGTTCACGGATTTGCCAACGGCAATCCGACTGGCCATCCTCACGTGTGCTGCAGTCCTAGGTGTATCAGGCTCGTAGTGATGATGCGGTGTCCACAGCCGCTCCACGAGCCGGTAGACTGCGTCTCGCTGCATGTGTCAGGGTTACTAGAGTAGCCGATTTACAGTACCTGGAGAGACAAAGGTGGCCAGGTGTGGTACTGTTCACACCACCACCTCGTAGGCACTGCCCACTTAACAGCATTTGCCTCAACGGCCTGGCTGACCTAAACGAGAGGGGGGGGGGGGGACTCCTTTTATTGTGCGTTTGGAGTGAGGTGGTAGATAGGCGAGGTGAAATGATGTAAACTGGCGACGGTGAGGCACAGCAACCCACATATCGTACACGGCGGACCTTTGTGTGCGACACTTGCGTTCAGGCCTGCGGACGCCGCCGTGCGTTGCTGGAAGTCGAGGGGCCCCTGGAAGTGCAAATCCGGCGCCGCCTTGCCACGCTGCAGCGCCGCTACCGCCACCAGCAGCGCCAGCTCGCGCGCCTCGCTCCTGCACCCAGCCAGCCCACCAGCGAGTAGGTCTTGTCGTGGTTACAGGGTAGCGGCGGGTGGAGGTCGCCCGACCACTTTGTGGGGGAAGTAAAATTTGTTGCTGATACTCGTTGGTAGTGGTGCAAATGCACAAATAATACTCATTCGTCAATAACACTGGGTTAAAAAAAAAAGAAAATATATACAAACGGTGATGTTTCAGACAATGGCTCTACTTCATAGCACATGGGGCAAGTTGGCAGTGGTTGTCCTACTCTCAGAGTCTTGCCCCCCGCCATCTGAATGTGGAATTTCCACTACTGGCTCGGCTGTGAATGGGAGATGAGCACCGTCTAGACTCCCGCTGAAGTAGGAGATCGCGTTGACGTTCTAGACTTGTCTGCAGTGGTGCCAAATGCGGCATGTCGCTTCAGGTGCCACCTGCGGGAACCGGCCGCCACTCCCCTTTCCCCGCTGGTGCCAAACCCACCGAGGGACGTGGCCAGGGCGGTCGCCAGGGGAGGTGCAGAGAAGCCTCCTCACCGCCTGGTGGTGGAGGGGAGGAGGCTGGAGGCGGTGGTGGCTTTGGGAAGGAAGGTGGTGAGGGTGGAGCGCAGCAGAGGGGAGAGAGGGGTGGACATGGCGGAGGAGCTGGACGAGGAGAGGGAGGATGAGGAGGACTATGAAAATGAGGAAGAGCGGGGCGAGGACGGCCTGGGCCCGGTGAAACGCGGCCGGGGGCGGCCCAGGAAGAGGAAGCAGTCGTCCCCATCGCCCCCTCCTCTGATTGGTCAACCGCTCATCGGGTGAGTGTCACATGCACACGGCATCACACGAGTATTGCGTGTGTGGAGCGGATAGCGGTTTGTCAAGAGTAGATTCTTCTAATTCTCGCGATTGTTTGTTTGTATCGGCAGAAGCCATGTTTGATGGTAGACTAATGCTGCATTTCAATGAAGTGGTCAACAGTGTACAGGACTTTTAATCTAGGTGGCCGGTACATCTCCAGGCGCGGCAGTTGAACCAATAGGGGGGGGTGGGGGTGGAAAGAGTTTCACAAAGACACTACCCCCCCCACACACACACCAGTTTACCCAGTGGTGTAAATGGTCTTGTCTGGGTATTCCTGCCAGTATGGGAGGGGAGGCCAAAAATGCTGTGGCGCTGTGGGGAGTGGAAGCCCTACCGCCACCAGTGGTGCGAGCGAACAACTTGCAGCACTGCACCTATTCCCCCCCCCCCCCCCCCCAGCCTAGGGGAGGAGCGCATGCGAGAGCTCTTGGCCAAGAAGAAGAAAAGGAGGAGTGGCGACTGTGCACCCCCCAGCAGGAGGAGCCAAGTTCGCCTCCTGCCCAGGGTCGCCCTGCCACCCACGTCCCCAAACCACACGGTCAGACCCCCCCCCCCCCCCCACCCCACCGATGGTGTCTGCGGTGTCACTGCCGCACGTCACATTTAGTGAACGCAAGTTGCGTGACGATGTTTTTGGTTTGTCGCGCTCTTCCTCAGGCCGCGCCCTGCACACGTGCACCCCTTGTCCCCGCGCGTCACCGTCACTCCGACCGCTCGCCGGCGCCGTCTGGCCGCTCCCACGCCACGCCACCGGCACTCCCAGCGGCAGCGCCGCCGCTCGGCGTCACGCTCTCCTGCAAGCGCCCCACGCTCGGCAAACCGCCGCGTCCTGCCGCGGGCCACGAGCGCGCTGGCGCCAAGCTCTCGAGGTCCGGCGTGCGACACCGCGGGGCTCCGAGCCCGGAGGTGGCGCGTGTGGGCAACCAGGATGGCGCACGGGCACAGGCGGCGGTGTCACGAGCTATTGCTTTGCACCGGTCCGACAGCAGCAGCTTCTCCTGCTGTGAGTCTCTCTCTCTCTCGCGCTCTCTTGCGCTCTCTCTCTCTCGCGCTCTCTCTCTCTCGCACTCTTTTTTTGCACATGCAGACAGAGCGGCGGTCTCTGTGTGGCGCAGGCCTCTCCGACTCGGACCCGGACATTGACGAGCGCCGCACCGCACCTGCCTGGCCTCCACACCCCGGGGCCGCCTTCAAGACGCCCACACTGCGGCAGAGGCTTCCTCAGAGGCCCTCTCAGCGGCGGCCCCAGGGGATGACACCGGCGGTGCCACCCGGTAGCTCCGGGACCCCTCAAACCCTTGGGCCACGGGGTCCCGCACGCGAACACGGCCTCTCGTCAGGGCCGCAGTGTTCGGACAGCGAGGGGCCCGTGGACTACTGCCGCTCGGCAGCAGCAGGTTCCCAAAACCTCCACAAGACTCTCTGAGAATGGGGGGGGGAGCGGTGGGGTTAGCTGGTGGGAAGCGAGGTCTGTGTGTGTCCAGAAGTGTTTGGTGTGGGCGTGCGTGTGGATGTTAGGTACTGTGCGTGTGGGGGAAGTTTCTAGGAGGTATAGAGTTGTGCATGTGTTGGTGTGAGCATTAAAGCTCTCCAGGGGAACTTCGTATTTGGTGTAAGTGTGTAGGTGTACCAGGAATGTGTAAAATGTTTGGTTGGTGTCAAGGAGTGAGGTAGACGGGAGGTGTGGAATGTACTTGCGTGTTGGTTGTCTGGATCGGAGAATGTGAGCCAATGTCAGAAGTATGTGTGGTGTCGTGTACTTTTTGTGGTGTTCAGTGTTGTGTGTGACTGGGAAATGCGTGTGGTTGTGTGCTTGTCTGAAAGCGGAGTTTTTTTTTAGTGTAACCATTCTGTGTATGTGGGGCAGTGTAACTGTGCGTCTGTTTTTTAATGATGTGTGTGTGTGCATGCATGGTGGGCCTCTCCTGAGAGGGCAAGAGCCTCCTGGGTGTGGTGCGGAGCAGGATGGTGCAGCGTGCCACAACCGGCCTTTTGACAATCAAAGCTTCTCACCACCTTGCTTTCTTCGCAATGGACTTAACAACGTTTTAACATGGCAAAGCCACATTGGGTATTTAACCTTTGCCTCTGGGGGCCATCTTTACTTGAAGACTGAGCTTAAGATGCCCGCCACGTGGTAAATCTCCGGTGGCAGTCGGCAGATTCTGTGTGGTTTTAGTTTTTAGGAGAGCCCAAGGGAAATTGGCGATGGGCTCAAATCCAGCCCTGGGTGTCAATGTTCGGGAGCCCCTGTTTTTCTGGATTTAAATTTCTCTTGGCCAATCAGGTAATTGATTTTTTACCTTTTTAACCTACCCACAATGCCATGTGCCTTGTCCCACAACCCCCTCCTCCCCTGTTCTCTGTCCAGGATTGCTGCCGATTTTTTTTTCTCCCCCCGTTTGCTTTTTTGAAAAATAAAAATCGGTCGCCTCGATCAAAACCGATCGTCGTCATTTGTAAGCGATGTGGGGGGGGGGTGCACGGTGGCTGAGTAATTTCTTCAGCTGTAACTGACCGCTCTACAATGGACGCAGCATCCTTCTGCTTCCTCGCATGGCAATAAAGCTCCTTTCCCTGAAACGTGGCTCCACAGCACCGACCTTGCCCTGACCTTGCGGTGGGGTCACCGTCGCAGTCATGGCGCGCTCTGTCCTGCGATGCCGCGTCTCCCCCCCCCCCCACCCCCACCCCCACCCCGCTTGCGCCGACTGACTGGTGATTGGCGTGCGGTCTCCCACTTCCCCCGGGTGTGATCGGATGACTCGTCGGGATTCGACGTTTGTTTAAAGTGTGAGGATGGCTTTTTGTCTTCGTCTCATTTTTGTGTTGCTTCTCGATTGTGGTCCATGTCGCCCATCCCCCTAACGCAAGCGTGCGATTTCGCGCTGCAGCAGCTTTTTCAAATCGGCGAATCTTGTTTTCTGCCTGGAAACAATTCAACATGCAGCAAGTTGCCCCCCGTGGCGATTCGATTTAAGGAATTTATTATGCATTCATCTCCCCAACTCCATGGGACCCGTTTGTATGTAATGAAGGTAAAATTAGCGCGATTTAACATCACAAGCTCTGTAAACGCCTCCCTGCACACACCATAACGGGGGTAGGGGGGGACGACGACCCCAATGCCCTCCATCCACTCAACAGGCCTAACCATGAGCGGATGAGTTGATCTGGGTTGATGTTTAGGCACCCGATTGTGTGGTGTGCTGTGGATGCGTGGTGCAGTGCATGCTTGCATGCCCTCTGATGCACGTGCATACGCACACAAACACTTGTGCACGCGCACTTAAACTTAGGTGTGCACTTAAAACGCATGCAACACACCTGCCCACATCTGAAGATGTGTATTGACATGCACGCGTCCACACACACACACGCGATTGCATGCACTCACGCTTCCACTAATTGGTCTGTATATGGCTCATCCAAATCTCCCACACTCCACACAGCGGCATCGGTGCTGCTGATGTCACCAGAGAATGCGAGCCAATATGTGCACGCCAACGCTCGCGACAACACGCGTCTTCTTCCAGGAAGATTCCACCGGGTGCCGGATTGGATTCACGCCGCAGACGATGGCCGCAGCCTGCGGTGATGAGCGGTGGCGCCGATTTTAATTCTGGCAAAAATGATTGATTTGCAGCCGAAGAACATTTATCTGCCAAAACGGTTAATTCTGCCAAAATATTAAACATTTGACCGATTGAATTGGACGAATGAGTTGTTGACGTGTGCTCTGCCATCAAGAGATTTGTTCCGCCAATTGGAGCGATCCCCATAGGGGATCCCCCCCCCACGCACCGGCGGTTTGGTGTGGCGGCAGGGAGTGGTTTGGTGAGCCATGGCACTAACCGCTTCGCTAACGCTGCCCTCTCCCCACCCCTGCCCCCTCCTCAGCCCTGCCCCCTCCTTCCCCAGCTGTGCGCTATGACCCCATGACCTACTGACCCTGACCCCTGCGAGGCTTGGCTGGTGCGTGGCTGTGAGGTCGGTGTGAACTGCACAGTGTAGGTTTAACCCCTCGCCTCGTTTTGCTGATCGATCGGTTTTTGAACGTCGTCTCTTCGTTAATTAACGGTGGCGCTAAAATGATGTGGGGAGGGTGGGGGTGGCGCTGTGGTTGGCACAGAGCGACGAACCCGACCACCTGAGTTCAATTCCAAGACCTAATGAACAACATCGGTCGCGAGCAATATGTGAACCGGTCCTGGGCTCCCCCCCCCCCTCCCCCACCCCTCGACCATAGAAGAGAATAATGATACAATGTGTACGTGTGTTGCGTTGTTGTAGACTTGTTGGGTGAAGTGCTCCGACGTTAACGCAACGTGGAGAACGTAAATGTGACCTTTGACACGAAGGTTTTTGGTGATGAATCGGCAGTTGCTCTGCGGATGATGCTGATACTCGGCATGCAGCGATCCCTGCGCTCGGTACTCGAGGCGTCCGTGTGTAGTAAATCGATGCGCTGCCTGTAATTGGCTTGAGTGGCCCCTGCACCCACCGCAACGTAAATCAATTCTGGAGTCAAGCGATGAAACTTGAGGGGAGTGGACCACTGCATGACGAATCCTCATCCATGGCGAGCCGTTAGCTGCCCGTGTCTGGGCTTAACGTAGCACCTGTGTGTCCATGTTAACCTGTCGGTGTGTACGCGTGTGTCTCCCTGTGTACGAGTGTCTTCGGCCATGTGTGCTAGTCTGTATGCCTGTCTGTCATGGACACACGTGCCTGTACCTAATGCACACTTGTGTCTGTCCACGTGCCTGTGCACCCATTAGTGCCCTGTGCACCTGTGTGCATGCATACGGGATGCACGCGTCCGTTTGTCGACGTGTACGTGTGTGCGTTTCTGATCCCCTCCCCAGGCTGGACCTTCATTGAGGATGAGGACCACGTGAATGACGGCGATGACGACGACGATGACGACGATGAGAATGTTGGGGGGGGCAGCAGCAGCAGGCTGGTGCCAGGCAGGCGGGGGGCGCCGTTCCGGCTGGCAGCACCGCCAGGGTTGACTCTGCGCTCTCCGTTCTCGGGGGGCGCTGGGTCCCGCCCCCGCCCCCCGAGATCTGCCCCCCGAGCGCCGGGCCCACACGTTCCGGCAGCCCGGCATGCAGCGCCCGCCAAACTCAAGAGGAGGACCATGGTGCTGCTTGGTAAGTGCACCCCCTCCACAGACGTGACACTGCGGGCGCCACCGCCACGCGGTCTCCCGCTGCCCACCCCAAGACTCGGCACTGCCTCCCCACCCCTTACCTCGGTTCTGTTCCTCCAGCGTTCCCTGCTCCTCGCCATCCTGTGACTTAGAAATTTATCCAGTCAAAATAAAGATTCCGATCCTCTGCAGGCTTCGATCTCGCCACAGACTTCCGGATGAAGCGGCGGTCTCCTGCTGCGACAAACAGGGCCTACGTGGGGGTGGGGGGCCCTCCGCGCGGCCGGGGAGGGGGCGCCGTCACGGGGACCGCCGCCGTGCCGGGCGGCCTCGGCACGGCGAGACCCGTCGGGGGAGTGCCGAGCCGCGCCGTGCCCTGGAAGGCCGCTCCGGCCCGAGCCAAGCTCCCGGGCCGCCCCCATCTCAACGGCGCCGGCAGGGTCTGCGCGCGGGGTACCGCGGCCGTGAAGAACGTGGGTCGCGATGGCGACAAGGATCAGGAGGAGGATGAGGACGACGATGACGGGTCCGTATTTGTGAGCCCGCCGAGAAGTTCTGCCGGGAGGCCCGGACGTCCCCCGCTGGGTCGCTCGCAGTCGCTGCCGCTGGGCACGGGAGCCGGCACTGGACCCGGCACTGGTGGGGCCGGTGTGAGGAAGGGGCGGCCGTGCAAAGGTGGCGGTGGTGGCGGCGGTCACGGCGGGAGCTGCAGTCAGCCGGAGAGGGACGGCAACAAGGTAGGGGGGAGCGCAACGGCTGTGCTCGGTGAAGGCTGCACCGGGGTGCCTAGCCATGAAACACAACGATCGTATAGCACGGGGGAGGTGGGGGGGGGGGAGGGCCATAGAGCGTCTGCATGTGGCCATACGTAAACGGTCGTCGCGTTTTGTTCGTGGACCAGAAGAGGGCAGTCATCGAGTCTGAGCTCGGGGGGGGGGGGGGGGGGTAAGGGAGTCTCCAGCACGATGAGCTGGGACAAGCGCGTTTCAGACGGGAACCTTCTGCGCCACTTGGCTTGCCGCGCGTGCACCGTCGGCACTGCTGCGTCGTCCGTATTTGTCTCGACCGCCGGCTGCCACTCCCGTGCCTTCTCGCTTGTGCCGCCTGTGCAGAGCGGCTGCGTTGACGCTCGCTCCGTTTTAAATTGGCGGCTGCGCCCCGAGCTCTTGCCACGTGCCTTTTGCGCCGTCCGTCAGCCGTGCTCGAGTTTGCGTGTTGTTGTCGCTCGCGTCGCCGTTCATTTGCGACCGTTCTTTCCGTCCGATTCCTTGTCGCAGAAAAATAAGGCGAAAGTGGCGGACGCCTACGGGGTGTTGGTGAAGGGCCCGATTGCCGTGACGTCGGTGGGCAGTCCAGGCCGCAGTCGAAGTCGGAGCCTACAGGGCCCGATAGGACGAGTGAGCAACGCATAACAACACCACCGATCACCCCCACCCCCCCCCGTTACAGCCTTGAACAGACTGTTGGGGCAAATGCCGGTATCGAGCACACGTTAAACCAGCGTATGAAGGGGTCTGTGGCCAACATCATGCCTGGCCACCTGTTGTGTCCTCGGTGCTGCTGTTTACACACTGCACCAGGCACTCGTTTAAAGCGGAGTTGACTTTGGAGACGGCCAGAACTGGTGCACTTATTTGCTACCGATGTTGGTGGTCACTTGGGCAAGGATCGAACTCTGGTCGCCGGGTTCGTAGCGCAGCTCGCTAACGGGCACATGCACACGGGGGTTCACGTAAGCTTTGAAATGACACGTCACATTGCAGCGTGTGGGGTAGGTCGTGCCTCCCTGCAGCGCTTGCCCCAACAGCGTGTTCGGGCTATGCGGGGGATCTTGATCTTGTGTCTCGGTGGCTCCCCTAGGCTCGCCCGCGGCCTGTGAGCCGCCTGCTCAGCAGCTTCCAGGCGGACGTGGATTTCTCCCAGAACAGCTCGTTCTCCGAGGGGGAGGGGGGCCGGGTCCCCGACCCCAGCCCCACGCCAGGTAACATGAGGGGGAGGGATGGGGGGGGGGGGGGACGCCGGTGAGCGGAGTTCCACTCGTCTGCCCGCCTGCCTGCGGACCAGGCCTTGGTTTCACAAGGCTGGGGCGGGGGTGGTGGACGGGCACAGTCTGTAAGCAGGATTTGGGTGGAGTCGCACGTATTTGTGTGACGTTAGTTCGGGGAGACTGGTTTTGAGTAGAGGAGCTGTAGCAGAGGGGCCTCGAATGTTCGATTGGCATCACTGTGATCGCAATAAGCCTCGGGCACCTGCCTTGGCTCAGAGTAGCCACACAGATGCTGCTGCTACTGCAGCCACGTTTCACTTACGGCCTCTGTCCCCCCAGCAGACATCTCCAGTCGCTTGGCGGACTCGCGCAGATGTGGTTGGGAGCACTTGTCCACTCGCTGTAACCCTCATTTGTGCCCTCTGACCATGGTCCACCCTCTGACCCCCCTCGCCCACGCATGCCCCGTGTCAGCGCCAGCGCCGCGCTCGTGCGTGCTGGACAAGGACGAGCTGTCGGAGGGCCTGCGCGTCCTCATCCCCAAGCCCGACAAGCTGCTGTACGCGGGGCACGTGCAGATCCTGCACCCGCCTGACGTGTACGCGCCCGCACCGCCCGCACCGCCCGCACCGCCGGCGCCCATGCAGCCGCGGTGCCACCACAAACATGGGCACCGCCACCAAACGCTTGGCGCAACCGGCGCAAGGGCCGTGACCTCCAGCATCACAAACGCAACCACCAGCACCGCCAGCAGCACCACAAGCGCCACCACAACTTAGCACCCACTGCGCGCGCGTGTTGCTGCAGGTACGGTGTGGTGATTGAGGGGGAGCGTGGGAACCGCCCGAGGATCTACTCGCTAGAGCAGCTCCTGCAGGAGGCGGTGAGTAGTACCGCGACACCGCTATGCTCACCGTGATATACAGCTACAGTGATGCTAGGACACGCGCCACATGATGTGGTGGGGCGGCGATGAATGCTTCCCCGTTTTCCCCTCTCCCTTCGTTTCCTGTTCGTGCGTCCATTCTGTCCTCCTATCCCGTGTCTTGCTGTCCCCTTGTCCCGTGTTAGATCGTGGACGTGAAGCCCCCCTCCTCACGCTGTCTCCCACCCGACACGCGCGTCTGTGCCTACTGGAGCCAGCAGCACCGGTGCCTCTACCCGGGCACCGTCACCAGGGGTGAGCAAGGGTGGGACGAGCGTGACGTGCGTGATATCCAGAGTGAATGTGAGAAGTGACCGAGTTTTGTCTGCGACGGGGCCCCCGCTGGGTTCGAGTCGAAGCGGCGGCCGCCTGTGGTCACCTGGTTTCTCCAGCGGAGCGAGTCGACGGGCCTGGCAGCCAAAGCTTGCACAAACAAAACCATAGCAGTCAATTTGGTTTTGAACTTTAGCTTAATTACGGACGTCGATTTGGCAGTCGTACGACCAAACCGAGCTGTCCGTAGTGGGGCGGTTGGGACAGTGCTGCCCCTCCTGTGCCTACCAGAGGTCAGAAGTGTGAAGGATCTCACGGAGCTGCGAGACTTCCGGGTGGATTCTCAGTATCGTGATGACGCGACGCCGATCACCCAATTGGGATCACATCATGGGGAGAAAAGAAAAATGAGTGCCGGCAGCGGGAACCCCCTGTCCGCCACGTTCGGCTGTGGAATACGATTCGCAAAAGCAGGAGGATTCGCCGATTCCGTTTGCAGGCGTGTTTTGTTTTAATTGCCGTGCCGTCGTTTTGGCGCTTGCCAGATGGCTCGAGCAGCGACGAGGAGGACGACGATGAGGAGGAGGAACGCGCCTTCGTGACGGTTGAGTTTGACGATGGCGACACGGGGAAGATTCCGATCTCGCACATCCGCCTCCTTCCGCCCGACTACACCATCCAGTGTGAGTACCACTGACACGCTTCTGGGAAGCTCAACCGGGGACACGTGGTGAGGTGGTAAGCCATGCCCTGTCTTCGCAGCCTACTTTCATACAGCCACGCCCACTCTGCCACTAGCACCGCCCTCTGCTTGATTAGCTCCGCCCTCTTACCATGTTTATGAGTCCGGCACAAAGCAAGAGCATTGCACAACGGTGACAAACTCAGTTTTGAATAAAAGCTTCGGAGAGACACTAAAACGTAGGGACCTGGCCAAATCGGGATGTATGGCAGCTGGAATTTCTCGCCGGTTTTGGTTATGATTTTTGTCCCTGGTTTTGACGAATGATACGAGCGCCAGCGCATGTATCCCACCTCCCCCCTCCGAATCCCCGCGCAGGTGCCGAGGCCTCGCCAGCACTACTCGTCCCAACCGCTGTCGTACGCCGCCCACGCAAGCCGTCCGGTGACACAAGGGAAGGGGGCGGTCCGGCAATCTGCCAGCCGGCCAATCAGCACGGCCCCCAGCGCAGGGGCAAAGGTCGCGCCAGTGTGGAGCCTTCCTCCCCACCCACCACAGCCCCCACCCCAACCCCTGCCCCCATTCTGGTCCCCACAGTAGGGCCCCCCGGGGAGCCGCCACCCAGCAAGGTGAAAGGTCGTGGACGGCCTCCTGGAAAGGTTCCAGCTGGTGAGTATTTCACATTTATATTTGAGGCTCGAATAGATTCCATGTGATTTCATCGGCAGGGCGGTGGATTCCGCAGGATTGTGGCAAAGCTTCTGATCATCCTCTTTTAGAAGAAGCACAGCAGCAGCCTCCAGGATGTAAAAACTGAAATCTCGTAAATGCGATCGAGCGCGAGCTTGAGTTGACTCCAGTTGGCTTTCCATAGAAACAAAATATTAGCCAACTTGCAGCAGCCCACGAATGTATATCGTCTCTCAGTTTGCTCAAACTAATGTCTGTCTTATTATTGCAATTATCCTAACACATTCACCCATGTGAATAACAAACCTGACCAAAAGGCAAAATAACGAACGTGGGCTGTGTCTGCAAACGAGGCGTCACTCATCACAGAAACGATGCCCGTGCCGATTCTCATCCCCAGAGGGCGGAGTGGCTGGGAGTGGCGATGCGAGGCCCACCGACTCGCCGCCTGACGACGCGCCGACTGGCTCAGAGCCTCGGGAGAAGCGGCCGCCCCCCGCAGGGGCCCATGGGGCCCGCGGTGCTGTCCCCCGGCCCCGCGCGGACTCCGACCGTCGGCGGGGCCCACCGCTCCGACCCGCCAGCCCTCCCGGCCGGGCCCCCCTCTCGCCCACGTCCTTGTTCGGGGCTTCGCTCTCCGTGGACACCTTCGAGAGTCTCAACGCCGGCGCCTTCTCGGTGTACCTTGGCGGCGGCGGAATTCGCGGCGGCCGCGGCGGGAGCGGTCGTGCCGAAGGCGGCGGTGCCGGCTCCGCCGTTGGGCGTCCCGGTGCTTGCCGACGTGGCCGGCGGGGCACAGACGAGGAGCCGCTGGTGAAGTTGGACCACGAGGGCGTCACGTCGCCCAAGAGCAAGAAGACCAAGGCCATGATGATGATGATGAGGACGGCAGTGGCGGTCGGCAGCGATGGAGGTGCGCAGCGGTTTGCCGGCGGCGTGCGGCTAGCAGCGCCGTCCACCTCGTCCGGCAATAGCGGAGGACTCCCACGCCCACGCCTTGGCCCGATCAGGAAAGCCTCGCCTGCGCAAAAGCCACAGCCGATGGTCACTGTTCCCACCGCCACTGCCGGCAGGGATAATGTTGTTGCCGCCTCCGTCCCCGCTGCTGCCGCCGCCACCACCGCCAGGGCTCCGAGGCCTGGTGATGCCGGCAGTGGCGCTGGCGGCGCTGGCGGCAGTGGCGCTGCTGGCGGCGCTGGCGGCAGTGGCGCTGCTGGCGGCGCTGGCGGCAGTGGCGCTGCTGGCGGCAGTGGTGTTTGCCAAAAGAGTGGTCGGAAGGCGGAGGACTGGAAGGAGATCTCGAGGACGGAGGAAAGCGAGCTGAGCAGCAGCAGCTCCGAGTCTGATTCGGGCGCAAGCCAGGCCGCCACGACGTCCGCTCGCAAACACAAGCCCGGAGCCAAGCGCTGCTCGCACTCCTCCTCCTCCAGCTCCTCCTCGTCGTCGTCAACATCCTCGTCGTCGTCGTCCTCATCGACCTCGTCCGCCGGCGACTCGTCTCGCTCCACTGCCACCTCGTCGTCATCCGAGGAGGACTCTTCCTACAGCGAGGAGGTGGAGGAAGCGGAGGAGGTTGAGGAAATGGAGGAGGTGAAAGAAGGTGGCAATGTCCAGCCCAGCCCTCCCTCTCTTCCCCAGGTGGCACAGGCAGCCGAGGTTCAAGCATCGGCACCAGTACGGGCCCAAGCACTGGCCAAGGTTTCGGCTGGTGGTGGTGGCAAAGGCGTAGGCGGTGGTGCGGGTAGTGGTGGCGCTGGCAGTGGTGGTGGTGGCGGGGGCTCCAGTGGTGGCAATGGTGGGGGTGCCGATGGTGGTGGCAGTGTAGCCGGTAGTGGTGGTGGTGGCGACGGTGGCACCGGCAGCAGTGGCTCTGGCAGCGGTGCTGGTGGCGCCGGCAGTCCTGGTGGCGGTGGCAGTGGTGGCTCTGGAGGGGGCGGTGGTGGTGGCAGTAGTGGCACTGGTGATGGTGGTGGCGGCTCCGGTGATCGGGGGGGCGGCCGGGCCCGGGGCCGTCGGCGCGAGGGCGTGCACCTCCCTACCACCAAGGAGCTGGTGAAGCGCCAGCGGCTGCCATCCGTGGAGAACCGGCCAAAGATCTCGGCCTTCCTGCCCGCACGCCAACTGTGGAAGTGGTCCGGGAAGCCGACCCAGGTGAGCGCCGCTGTTGGCGGTCTCGTGGCGCCGCCGTCCGCGCCGCCTGCTTCGTTGCGTATCGTCGTTGTGCACACGCACGCGTCACTCACGTGTGCGTCTGTATGTATAACTTCTTTCGCACCGTACGTAGCCAACCGTGCTAATTGGAGGTGTATCTCCGTGCTTCCCCCAGCGGCGTGGGCTCAAGGGCAAGGCACGCAAGCTGTTCTACAAGGCGGTGGTGCGTGGCAAGGAGACGATCCGCGTGGGCGACAGCGCAGTCTTCCTGTCGGCCGGGAGGCCCAACCTGCCCTACATAGGTCGCATCCAGAGCCTGTGGGAGTCGTGGGGCAGCCACATGGTGGTCCGTGTCAAGTGGTTCTACCACCCAGAGGAGACCAAGTTGGGCACACGCCACCGCGACGGCAAGGTAGGGAGCGCGCGCGCCTCACTACGGGGGGCACTGCACTCCTGCATTCACCAAGGCACGTCTACCTGCGTGCGTGCGTGCGTGCATGTGTGGCATGAGTTATATGGAGGGGGGGGGGGTCTTTGTCTTTGCGTGTGTTGTGGAGCAGCAAGCCTTGTACCAGTCGTCACACCTGGACGAGAACGACGTTCAGACCATCTCGCACCGCTGCCTCGTGGTGGCGCACGAGCAGTACGCCCAGATGGTTCTCACCAAGCGCTACCAGAACAGCGAGGACCTCTACTACCTGGCCGGCTCCTACGACCCCACCACCGGCATGGTGCTCAACCCCGACGGCGTGCCCGTCATCTGCTGACACGCCCAGCGGCGGCGACGGCGGCGTAGACCACGAGCGGCGGCGATGGCAACGACGCCATCGGTGGCTGCGGCGGTGATGGCAACGACGCCATCGGTGGCTGCGCAGTGGATTTGTAGTCGGGCACGCCCAGCGGCCCCTTCCCCGTGATGCCCGCTCTCGCTGTCCCTTCGTGGCTCCACTGCCACTTGCGGTGTTGATCGGCGCGGTCCAGAAACCGCAAATGCAGCGTGGGACTGCGACTGCGAAACGTGGTGCCGGCGATACCGTACGCGCGTGTGGAAGCCCGGCAGGGCGATACGGAGTGTGCGTGGGGGGGCGGTGCCCACCCACCCACGGGTGACGATAGCTACGTTGTTGCCAACAGGGCCCTTTCAGGGGGCCCCAGTGAGCCTTCCCCCTCCCCCCCCCCCGCTGGTCACGTCTCTGCGAGGTTGGAGCCGCGTGCGGGTGTGAAACGACGCTTGCTCGTTGCACCGCGTACGTCTCGCCTGGGGGGGCCTTTGGTGGTGGAAGGGGGGCAGCAGGAAGGGTCCAGAGACTCCCCCCTCCCTTTCCACAGGCTCGGGGTCCCCACACCCCCTCTCTAACCGAAATAATTCTGAGAGCGGCAGTGGGTGGGGTAAGAGGGTCGTGGTCACCGTTGATGGTGATGAGCCGAGCCGGCTGCTGTGTGACTTGAAGAAGTGAGCGAGTGTTGGAATGTGGTTAGCGAGGGGGGGCACCGAGTGTGCGAGTGGTTGGGTTGCTGGTTAGGTAGGTGGGCGGTTGAATTAATGTGATCGGGTGAGTGATTGCGTGGGTGTGCCTGTGCGAACGACGAGAGAGAGAGAACGTGGTTGGGTGAGTAGCTGGGTGTGAGTGAGCGAGATGTCTAGGAGGGAGTAGGAACTTTTCAATAGCTTTAGTGGACCAGACAAGCGAATGAGATACTTGTACCAGCAAATATTATCGTATTTGATTTTGTTTTTAAATTTCTCGCAGTCAGGGTGGAACACATGAGCAAGCAGGCATGTGTGTGGCCTTGTATATACACGTATATAGAGCACTTAAACCACACACACACACACGTGTAATTGCACGCCCTCCTTCAAGGATGCCTCGAACCTTGTCTCGCGTCAGCAGAGGTGGTGGCACCTTCATTGACGTGGAAGTTGGAGCAGGAAGGTCCTGTGTGGAGTTTGGGTAACGTTTGCTCGGACTGTACTTTAAATAGAGCCATCATTGCTGGCATTTATCCTGAATGGTTTCTGCAAGATGGTGGTGGTGGTGAAGGACTGTGATGGTGATGGAGATCACGGGGATGGGATGATGATGGAGCACAGATTGACGATGTGACTCGTCATCATAAAGCCCCCACGCATCTCTACAGGGGTTGAGCTGCTGAACGTGATGACGATGGTAGTCCACAATTAGCAACGTAACCACCTTTTTTTAATTTTACCTTTTTACAATATAAACAATATTATCATGGTGTTACTGTAATAGGTAGCAGTAAACGGTCTGCGAAGGTATTTACGCAAATAATGTTAAGTCCGTGTCATAATTCCAGTATAACGATCGCTATGATAATTGCGCGAATGTATTCACACTAGCGGATAGGACGACGCAAGTGTTAAGCTAACAGTACACGTGTACTGTCTGTGTACTGCATTTTTATATATATAATCTCATAGATGTATATACGTCCAAGTACTCAAGTTTATTTTGTTTTAACCAGGTGAGAACTCGAGAGACCGGGGGTAGGAGTCTCCATTGGCGCAAGAGTGAGCTGGAGGTGGCATTAGTCCACTGCGTGTGGCATCCCACTTGATGAAATTTGCGGTGTCACTTTTTCGATTTTGGAAAAAAAAATTTTATTGCGACGCCGGTGGCACACAATGGGGGGGGGGGGGCCGTTCTCGCGAACGACGTCCACGGGATTTCTCGAGCGAAGCAGCCGGCGTGAGGTGGTGTTACGGTTAACGCGTGCGCGCCGCAGCAGTAATTGGGGCGGCCGCTGGGTCGCCACCGCTGGGTTACCGCTGGAGGCCCCCCCAACCCCCGTTCCGTGAGGCCCACGTTTCCAGGGAAGCAACAGCTGTAATGGTTTAGTTTGCCCCTCGTTGTTTAGCGCAGGGCAGTCTCGCGACACTTTATCAAGTGGGCCCTTGCCCTAGAACGTTTGGCCAACTCCCCCCCCCCCCCCCCCCCTTGAGAGTGAGTGCCGCTGGTGGCGAGTTTTTCGTATCGGAGAAAAAGGCCTCAAGACCCCAGAGAAACCCCTCTGTGTGCGAGGGGATAGTTCCTAAAAAGGCAGGGCAGTCCTGCTGTGCACGTGCTGTAGGGGTGTGCACCGCCTACTTTGCTGTCCTCATTCCCACCCATCCGCGGCCGCACTCGGGGTCAGGTTCACGGCCTTGGATTCCTCCGCGGCCACGGAACACGAGGGGTAGCAGAAGAGAACAAATGGGAGCAATGTAAATTGGGAGTGTTTTGGGGGAGCATGTGGAAGCAGTGCGAACATGGGAGAAGTAATCTCCCACCCCGGGGGAGCGGAGAGGTACCAAGTGATGAGATTGTTTATGTGACGATGTTGATGATGATGATGATTACGATGTTGATATTATTGTTTTTTTTCCTCGTGCCCTGAGACCAAAAGAATGTAAAATGAGGATGTGAGTTGGGGGGGGGAAGATGGGGAGGGTGGGTTCTGCAAGGTGTTTCCGGTGCGACTCATTCACGAATGAATTAATGCTGCACAATCTGTCATCGTCGCCTCCCTCACCACTCGCCCGTCTCGGAGCCGTGAGGTACCTGTGCCAGGCTAGGTGTCCTTTCGCTCACCTGCTCGACTGCAGGGTTCCTCCAACTCCCACTCCTTGCGTGCCCCATCACGGTCCGGTTTCCACGTTCACCGAACTAGACTCTTCTCGATTACAAACCCAAGACGAGGCATGCGATATTGCGCCTGATGATTGCTGAACACTTTCCACGTTGGTGCTCGTTCTAATTGATATTAAGTAGACGACAACTCCTAACCGATATCTGCCCTTGCACATAAAAAACCACATCGGCTTAACGGGCCTGCTGGGAGTGCATAATTTCATCAGCATTGGTTACACAAGCTAACCTGGAACAGTCTTGATATTCGGTGTCTCATCAGCAGAGTCTTATCAGGCAGGCTTGCCGAAACCAATGCTGGTTAACAGGCAGACGTTCTATAGGCGAGCACCTCCCTCGGACAGGGGTCCTAGTTGCCCGCAAAACCACGCACGGTGCAGCACAGCTCTCCACAACACGAAGTGATCGCTAGCGGGGTCCGTCGTTTAGCAATCGTATCGGGCACGTGACGTCTCGGGTTGAGATCGGTGTGACCGTGACGGGGGGGGGGGGGGGTGGGGACGCGCGATCCCTCGTCGGCGTTCCCCATGGGGGCCGGGACGGCGGGCGGCCTCGCGGTGCCGCGGTGGCCTCGCGTGGACGCCGCTTTGCTCTGGGTAGCGCCAGCGACGCCGCGGCTTACGCCACACGATGCCTGCGACTCGAGCACTTAACCCCCCCCTCCTCTCCCCACCCACCACCACCACCCCCCCGGGGGAGAGTTTGTATTTTTGTAGGCGAACCATGGCGGTGGCGGCATCAATAAACCCGAGAGAGCGACGCGTGTGGAGCCTCGAGTGAGTGTGTGCGATGCGCGTCCAGCTGCCCACGACGACCACGGCAACCACCATCCGGCTACGCTCCATTGAACACGATCCGACACCATCAGTCTACACCCCCCTCCGCGCCCCCAATGTCGGTCGATTGGTAATTTCCTCCGCGTCCGCGACGCTGCTGCAGCTGCTGCTGCCCTCTCGACTGACTGCGATCTCTCCAATTCTTCCTACGCCCCCCCCCCCCCCCACAATGCAACCTCTCGGGTAGAATCTTAAAATTCGGTAGAAATTCTTCCCAGTGCACCACGCCCGCTCCTACGAGCCATTAGTCTGCATCTCGTCCGTTGTGGTCGGTCACTGCTTCTCCAGACTCCTCCTTGCGTGCAGTGAAGATGCGGTTGTGTCTCGCTCATCAATTTAATTGGAGCAAAATTATATTTCGAGGATTCTTGGCTCTTCTGATGGCCAATGACGAGTGCACGTTTTTAACTCTTCCCATAATCGGCCGAGAGACTTTGCCGGTCGATTGCAATCTTTTCTTCAATCCTGATGGTATCTCAAGCTTCCCACGGGGACCTCAAAAATCTAATCGTCTGCCACAAGCCACTTTGCCGTGCACCCTAATTGGTTGCCTTCTAGGAAAAAAACATACATAGACGTAATATTGATATAATGCACGTGTAATAAGCTGTCTGTCTGGGCAGTGATGTGGTCCAGAGGCAGTGCGTTCACCGCTTGCTGTCGAGGTCCACTTACGATCTGGTCGGCTGTCCTGATTAATACCGTGGGTGTATTAACCGTAAAATACGCGCCTCATGCTTCAGAGCGGATGTCAAGGATCCCCTCGCGTCACTGAGAGGAATACAGCGTTGCTTGCTAGCATCATCCAAATTTGGCAAATTACAAAAATTACCTACAACGCACCGCAAACTGCTGGTAGGGCACCTCACCCCGCTCCTTTGAAGCGGCCATCCTAAGGGAACAGGCGGCCTTCAGCTCAAAGCGCAGCACCTGTGACCAGGTCCTTGCGCCGATGACAAACATTGATGCGGGATTCGAAAACAGGGGGCTGCATTTGTTGACTTCTCGGCGGCATGTGGCACCGTGTGGCGAGACGGCCTCATGCTGGCCAGGGTTGTCCAATGCTCCTCTCTCTCGCACCTGCTGGGAAAAACCATCGTGACCAATGTCTGGCAAAAAAAAAACACATTTACCAAGCTGCAGCGTGTACAAAATTCTTTGTCACGGGGACTGCAAGATCCGACCATGTCCGTCCAGCGCTCGTCGAGCTGCATTGGATTCCGGTTGTCGAACGAATACATTTATAAGGTCGCACATTTGTGGCAAGAACCACGATACATTGCTGATCTCGTCAAGTAGCATAAGCCATCATATAAACTCCGGTCATCCTCGTGGTGCCTTTTGGCTAACCATCGAACAAAGACGGTCACTGCATTGCACGCTTTCAGACACTTCTGCGGCCGTCTGGAACATTCTGATAGGAGGAAGCCACTGGAGCAATGTACTTTTAAATGTAAACTTTAAACTAATTTCTGTAGAACTTTAGATTTAAAGCTTTCGTGACTGCAAGGATTAATCTTCTTTGGTTCTTTCGGTAAAGTCACGTAGAATGGGAATAAAATAATTTCTACGTGACTTTACCGAAAGAACCAAAGAAGATTCTGTAGAACTGCTTTGTGTTTAGTTGTCCTTCCCCCGTGCCTCCGATTAGCACGGTTGGCTACATACGGTATGAAAGAAGTTCACCTGTACATACAGCAGAAGACACCGCATCCACATTGGGAATGACGTCCGTTGCCCACCGCTTTCTCGACAACGGCCTTAACGTCCACGCGAGCGACATGCCAGACACAACATCACGGAAGTTTGGATACGCGGACAATCTGGCCACAGGACGGCCACATCGGCCGCATGAGATACTGAAGCCATCCACAACCCCGCCGCCAGAGGCCTTGGATTGGCTACGGAACTTTGATATAAACATTTGAACAACTTGCTGCTCCCCTTTCAATAGGTCTCTTATCCTGTAGCAAACCATAGGACAGAAGAACTGCAAACTCTCGCAAATGTGTCACAAACGGTGCCCCCACGCCATCGCCGGCTTCCTCCACATGCGGAATCGCCCTCTCGTGTGGCCCTGCTGATCTCGGATTTATTTAACAACGTGAATCGACCACTCGGGAACGAGACCGACATTGCACGCAACAGAAACTCCTCGAGTCATTGCCTAAACAACAACAACCGTGCGACTTTATTGATGCTTGTGCACCACGGCCAACGTAAACTTTTTCTATGTTACTGACATTCGAACAGATGGCAAGTTAAATTTTGATTTAAAGCTTTCGTGACTGCAGGGATTCATATTCTTGGTTCAATCGGTGAAGTCACGTAGAAGGGAAACAAGTAATAAATATAAAACAATAAAATTGTCACGACGTTTCGACTGCAACACGAACAATCATCATCAGGTGTGAAAACCACAGCAAGAAAATTTCGAAACGTCGTGAGACTTTTATTGTTTTATATTTTTTATTATCTTGTTGTTTTCCTTCTGCGTGACTTTACTGAAAGAACCAAGAATATGATAGCAAGTTGCAAATAAGAATGGTCGTGAACGTCTGTATACACAAGCACAGGTAAGAACGTTACAACAGTACGTATTGGAGCTGACGTCCCCAAGTTTAAAACGACAAACACGTGTAAAGACAGCCATTGTGCAAATAATAGGTCAAGCAGTTGAAGTGCATCGCACTGTAATGCGACACAATGAATGCAGGTTAAGATAAAAACGGACATTTAGATGTTGCAGTCAGATCGAGTATATAGAGAATCGATGTCATGCAAAAAATGTCGTAAAACACGAATAACACAATCAGGATTCAACAGGCTTCCCCACAGAAAAAAAATCTAAAGCACTACATCTAAAAATCTAGACGTCACGAAAGAAAGTTTAAATAAATCTTCGATGATGTTACGTTACTTGCTAGATAAATTTACTTCAGTTAGCTAACTGGCCCTCCGATCACGCCATACAGTGAGGGGAAACAAGTATTTGATCCCCTGCTGATTTTTTACGTTTGCCCACTGACAAAGAAATGATAAGTCTATAATTTTAATGGTAGGTTTATTTGAACAGTGAGAGACGGAATAACAATAAAAAATGCAGAAAAACGCATGCCAAAAATGTTATAAATTGATTTGCCTTTTAATGAAGGAAATAAGTATTTCACCCCTCTGCAAAACAAATGCTGACGTAGGCGGCTAGGCCAGCTAGAAGGCTCCGGCGTGTCAAAGAACACGCGCACCATGGCAAACTCGAAATCTGATTGGTTAAAGAATATGACAACATCGTCCCCCATTGGTTTTTTCGCTAAAGTCACGTATGTAGAAATACAATAAAATTATATTTAAAAAAACAATCACGACGTTTCGATCACAACGCAAGCGATCTTCATCAGGTGTCAAGAACAAATCACGGAGGTAAATACAACAAAAAGATGAGAGATGAGAATTCAACAAACCTGAAAAAAACATTATGTGAAGCACATCCAGTCAGGCCAACAACACAGTTAGACACTTCCTGGCGGACCACAAATTTCAGAACAGTGTTAAATTTCGTGTTCAACCTTTGGATTGCACATACCAGCATAGATAGAATGAAAAATACGAGGTACACGGTCAGTAGAAATACATATACAAGTCCACCAAGAGGTAAGGAGGGAGGAAAGACGGACAGGGAGGCAGAGAGAGGGGGGGGGGTCGGAGGGATGAACAGAAGCTTAAATAGAAAATACGGTTGGAGGGGGGGAGGGGCCAGAGCGAGAGCGGCAGCTCAAACACGCACATCTTACACATACAAAACGGCAGCTCAAAAAAGGACCACCTCTTGTAAATACAAAACGGCAGCTCAAAAAATGACCACGTCTTGTAAATACAAAACGGCAGCTCAAAAAAGGGCACATCTTACACATAATTACAACGGTAACTTCTCCGTAGAAGTTTGATAATAAAGTATTAAAGCTTTCATGACTGCATTAAAATTACTCATTGTTTTTTTCGGTAAAGTCACGTATGTAGAAACACAATAAAATAATATTAAAACAAAAAACATTTTTTTGAGCTGCCGTTTTGTATGTGTAAGATGTGCGTGTTTGAGCTGCCGCTCTCGCTCTGGCCCCTCCCCCCCTCCAACCGTATTTCCTATTTAAGCTTCTGTTCATCCCTCCGCCCCCCCCTCTCTCTCTCTGCCTCCCTGTCCGTCTTTCCTCCCTCCTTACCTCTTGGTGGACTTGTATATGCATTTCTACTGACCGTGTACCTCGTATTTTTCATTCTATCTATGCTGGTATGTGCAATCCAAAGGTTGAACACGAAATTTAACACTGTTCTGAAATTTGTGGTCCGCCAGGAAGTGTCCAACTGTGTTGTTGGCCTGACTGGATGTGCTTCACGTAATGTTTTTTCAGTTTTGTTGAATTCTTGTCTCTCATCTTTTTGTTGCATTTACCTTCGTGATTTGTTCTTGACACCTGATGAAGATCGCTTGCGTTGTGATCGAAACGTCGTGATTGTTTTTTTTTAAATATAATTTTATTGTATTTCTACATACGTGACTTTACCGAAAAAAACAATGAGTAATTTTATGCAGTCACGAAAGCTTTAATACTTTATTAACATCGTCCCCATTTGCTTCAACAGCAGAAGGGATTCACTCGAGATTATGAAGGCCTCGGGGTAGATTTTTTCACCCAGAGAGGTGGAGACAGCACAGGTGGAAAATCTGATTGGATAAAAGCTCTAATTTATTAGCTACACTGGAAGCAGCGCAACTGAGGGAGAGTAGCAATGAAATTACGTTATTAGACTGATGGGAACGAACTTTGTAAATTACTCATAGCATTAATGAAAATATATATTAAAGTATAAAAATATCATTTTCTGATTCTCACAATCGCTCGGCCAATAGAGAAGGCCTTGCTGGCCCTGACGGCCCGCCTCTGATCTGCTTCAATAAATATATTTGTATCGCAAGGATGGGCACAGTGTGTATACTTAGAGGAAGTCATGTCGATCGTTTTTATTTCTCAACAGAGAGTTGTGCTAAGGAATACAAGGCGTTGTGACTGCGGCGGTGGTAGTAACATGGTGCAGCAGTAACCGACTTTATAAAGTGTATCACTGAAGGCCTACGATACACAAGTGCCTAAGGGCCTTCGAGAACCTTAATCGGGCCTTGGGCACAACAATGAAGCGAACAGAAATTGGGAGTTATGAGAATCAAACGTGAAAACATTATTACATTTAAATGTGTATTCTGCAGCAAAACACAATTCATTTTAAAATGAGGGTGAATGTATTAAACGAGCGGTTAATGGATCGGGGGGTGACTAGGGGGGGTAATTGGGTTAACGAGGGGTAATGAGGGTTCGGATTATGGGGCCGTCCATAAATGACGTCACGCACCTAGGGATGGGGGGGGTCAGACATTTGTGACGATGTGTGACGAGGGGGGGGGGGGGTTGAGAAATGTGACGTCACATCAAAATGCGCAACTTTAAATAAATCTAGACAACACGTTCTACTTAATGAAATAAACTTTCAAATAAATGTTTTCTCCTACAACATCTGAGTGCAGCGCCACATTAAATACACACTACAATGGCAATAGTTTAAAGCGATTTGAAGCATGTTTTATTTGGGGGGCGGGGCAGAGCTTTGTGACGTCATATTTGAGGGGGGGTCTGACTTTTTGTGACGCCGTGTGACGAGGGGGGGGGGTCAAAAATCGTCCAAAATCGCGTGACGTCATTTATGGACGGCCCCTTATATCATCACCGGTGGCCAGGTCGCTTCTGAAAAAGAGCTGATATCGCTCAGTGAGTCTTAACCTGGGACAGTTAATGTTTACTGATGCTTAATTGTTTTTTTGAATACCGCATGTTTTTCAAAGGAAATTTTTATATTTAAAGAATAAACTTCGATAAAAATCACATGTATATGCTTTTTTGCTGTTATGCACAATAGTGTACTAAAATAAAGTAATGTAGTTTAACACGTTAGCTTTTCGCGAGGTTTTTAGGTTAGATCGCGCAAATATTAGAGGCATTAATAGAAGTAAAAAATTCGGTCACAGTCCCTGTGATCACTGTTACGTTGCAATTATGGCTTTATTTTTTGGTGATTTCGAAAACGGTTTTTTGGTTTGGACATGTTTGTTTTGTTGTAGTACGGAGTTAGACTGATGGCCTTAATCTAAGTCTTCTTGTGGTTGTTGTTGTTTGACTTGCATCCCACTGGGATTTTTTGCACACAGCGTTGGTGTACGGTGCTTTTTTCAGGAATATTTTGCTGTTTTTTTCATTGATTTTCTGTTTGCACAGTCGCATAGTCACTTTAAGATGTTTTTCTTGTTCGTGTTTTTTTGTTTGTTGTGGTTGCACCCGATTCAAGAGCCGATTGGCTCATAGGGCTATACCAAAATAAATAAACTGAAATAAACTGAAACTGAAGGTCGCGTAACCCCAAAACCACCCTTATTTAAAGAGCTAATTTAAATTGTATAAATCAGATTGAATGAACTCGAAATGGGCGTGGCTCCGGAACGACAACGCCCACGGCGGGGCGGGTGCTCCGTAATGACCACGCCCACACGATGGTGGAGGCTCCGCAACGACGACGCCCAATAATGGAGCGAGACTCCGCGATGGCCACCACCTTCAAAGGAGGCGGGGTGTCGCTATGACCACGCCTACAAAAGTGGGCGGGGCCGCAACGACCACGCCCGTCGAGGGGGCGTGGAAACCCGCCGTGCTTTTTCCCGCCTCGCGTCGCCATGGATCAGCAATGGCGCGCCAACTTCAAGCGGGTGAGGGGCGAGCGGCCGCCTCCCTCAAAACACCTCGTTAAGTTTGTTGTTTTGAACAACTTATTATCAACCGCGGTCGGGAGCCAGCCCAGTGAGAGCACGACCCGTCGTGCGCCAGATCTACGGCGGGGTTGAGCCTGGGTTAAGGGCTTGGATGGGCGACGCCGTGCGTGACAGGTGCTGTAGACTTTCTGCGTTACGGGGCGGCAGAGGACAGCCGCAGCAAACTTCGACCGTCGGGCCGCGCTTACGTCCCGCTTGCTGCTCCCCCCCCCCACCGACCAAACCGCACAGTCCGTGCGGGTGGTCGAAGCATGGTCGCAAATCGCCTCGACGCTCCGCAAGTGGCGACGGAGTGGTCCTCGTCCAGCAGCGGAGCGCAGGCGCGTTTACAGTACGGTGGGGCGGGACAGTTCGCAGTGGGTGTTGCGCTAAGAGTCTCGGGCTCCACCAGTCCTCGCAAAATCCCTCCCGCCCGGGGTCGGCGTTCGTTTGGTGGCGAGCCCGTCTCGTGCCCGCTGCGCGCCGCGCGCGCCTGATAGTGGCGAGGAATGTTGGGGTTGACCGTCGGCGCTGGTGGGGCGGGTAGGCGGCAGCCGGTGCGTTGTTGGTGCCGGGCACACCGCGCGATTTAGCGAGTGTACACAACAATCACTTTTAGCCTAGCCAGTTCACTCTGATAGTGCGCTGTTTTTTGAGTTGTGTACGCCTTTTGGCGTCTTCTGGTCCAACACCAGTGGAGAGACTTAAGGGCGCTAAAGAAACGCCGTCTCGGGTGTGGACCAATCAAATTCAAGGACAGTGCCAATATTATCAGAGTTGTCTCTTTTTTGCTTGCATTTTGACTGCTTGTGTTGCGGTTATTGCAGACACGATGCCTTGAATAAAGGTGTCAGTTTTTGTGCCAGTTAAAAGGGTAAAACCTGTTACTAGTTCATATTGTGTTATGGGGCCGTCCGTGAATGACGTCACGCACCTAGGGGCGGCGGGGTGTCAGACATTTGTGACGAGGCGGGGGGGGGGTTTGAGAAATGTGACGTCACATCAAAATGCGCAACTTTAAATCAATATAGAATTGTTATAACAACACTAATTGTTATAACACTCCTACAACATCAGAGTGCAGCGCCACATTAAATACGCACTACAATGACAATAGTTTAAAGCGATTTGAAGCATAGGAATAGGTTTTACCCTTTTAACTGGCACAAAAAACTGACACCTTTATTCAAGGCATCATGTTTGCAATAACCACAACACAAGCAGTCAAAATGCAAACAAAAGAGACAACTCTGATAATAATATGCACTGTCCTTGAATTTGATTGGTCCACACCCGAGACGGCTTTTCTTAGAGCCTAGTCTCCATTGGTGTTGGACCAGAAGACGCCAAAAGGCGTACAACTCAAAAATAGCACACTATCAGAGTATTGAGGGCTCGGGGTGAGCATTTACATTATGAGACCTCCTTTGCCAGTAACAAGACAGTGCATATTATTATCAGAGTTGTCTCTTTTGTTTGCATTTTGACTGCTTGTGTTGTGGTTATTGCAAACATGATGCCTTGAATAAAGGTGTCAGTTTTTGTGCCAGTTAAAAGGGTAAAACCTATTCCTATGTCTTGTTACTGGCAAAGGAGGTCTCAGCGATTTGAAGCATGTTTTATTTTTGGGGGGGAGGGGGCAGAGCTTTGTGACGTCATATTTGAGGGGGGGGGAGTCTGACTTTTTGTGACGCCGTGTGCTCGAAGGGGGGGGGGGTCAAAAATCGTCCAAAACCGCGTGATGTCATTTATGGACGGCCGCTATGTATTCAATTGCTTTGCGTGTGAATCGGGACCCATATCTAACAGAGATGTGGTGGTGCTCGCCTGTAAACCATCTGGAAAGTTCACGGGCAGCATTGGTTCGAGCGAGCCCGACAGCCGACGAGACGCTTCCGTGTCCAGTCCGAACTTGGGAGTTTTTCTCGTGTTGGACCAATTCCGCTGAAAGTCTACGACTCCTAGGAAGCCGTGTGGCTGACGGGATGAGGACAAAAACCCACGGCTTTTGCCTGTGGTTATTACTTTCCCATGTGTCCCCCGGGCAGTGCCGTCGCTCGTGTAGGGGGCAGGTTGGCTGCGTGTCCGCCAGGGGTCGTGATTGCAACGTCGCGAACAAACCGGCATGCCAGTAGCGCTCGTGGCAAACATCATGTGTGCAGAAAACAAATACAACAACAAACTGTTGTTGAAAGCGTTAAGGTCAATCTCCCAGAGGTTGGACAGATCCGTGAAATGGCAAGTTGTGTGGGCAGTGTATTATAGCAATTCGCTTTTGGGTTTGCTACGGTGTGTGCTACGGATGGAGTGGTGGCAAAGTAGTTGATGCGCTGTGCTCGGAACTCTGCCACCTGAATTTGGTTCCTGGCCGCGGCCTACGTCAACTGCGATGTTGGCCATTGCTGGATGAGGGCCTTCCCATGCCATACTTGAACTTCGCCACGCCCGTGAGTAGGGGTTGTTGAAGGCAGGAAGCATAGACGTGTGAGCCTGGGGTATAACAATGGATATTACTATAACTGCCCTCTGCTATATAACCACGAAGCTCCCCCAAGTGCTATGACAACCAGTTTTGTGCATCGTCGTCAGCGATCTGAGCACCATCCAAGCTCAGCCCATCTTAGCCTTAGAGATCTGACGAGATTGGGCACCTTTCGGAATTGCTTTAGTCGAAGGCCGAAATAATAAACTGCTATTTAAATTGTTATGGTTATCTAAAGTTTGGTGTTCTATGATTGCAGGCAACGGTTGGGAAGCTGCTGGCGATGCACTTCAAGGATGAAAAGACCAAAGGTGTGAACGTCTCAACAACTCCACTAGTGATGGCATTTCTAACAACACTCAAATGCCAGGCAGTGGCTGCCCATAATAATAATACAAAAATTTGCAATTCCCTTCCGAGAGCGGCAGTAAATTTGAGACAACTATACTAGCGGCAAAATTGGGAATTGTCGGCGCGGTAAAGGCATAATTTTTTAGAATAAATACGTCCGCAATTTTGACTCTTGGCAGTCTAAAACAAGGCTGTGCATTATACTCACAACGTGATGTCACGTGACATCCGAGGCATGATGCGAGGACCGATCCAATGGTCAAAATCTCACATTTTGCTGTCCAGAAATCATCGGTGTCATTACTCTTATTTGTTTACAGCCTGTACACTATCCTGTCACATGAATACAACTGCGTATGGAAGTCGACAGTGGTTTCCCTATGGATGGACCCGCTCCCGCCACAGGATTGTGAAAGTTCCACCATTGCCTCAGGGCTGTGAAGGAGAAAGATGAGCAGCAATGCCTCGGCACTCGTTTGAGCTGGCATCGAGACGTTTCTCCACGATGAGTTCTCATCGTTTACAGTAAAGCCTTATCAAACTGGTTGAAGGTGAGAGCTGCTGTTGTCATCCTTGAAGCCGCTTTTCTCACGGCCGTCTCCCTTGCAGTGAACGCGGACGCCCTGAAGCTCATGACCAGCCTCCTCCGCCTGTTTGTCACCGGTGAGGCCGGGAACTCGGTTACCCATCCACACCTTGGAATTCCCTCCCGTAGACTCTTCCCAAGCTAGTATAATCTAGATTTGAAGCTTTCGTGACTGCAGGAATCCATACTCTGGTTCTTTCGGTAAAGTCACTTACCTACGTGACTTTACCGAGAGAACTAGATAGTATGCAAGCCTGTATATAAAACAGATTTGTAGAGGTGCGGCCCTGCTGGTAGAAGGGCCTCCTCGAGAGTGAACTCTTGAGGGCATTTGGTCTACTCTTCCACGTTCACTGGGCGTGTTGGCAGAGATGGGTGTACTCACACTTTACCCCACCACATGCGACCTGCCGACCGACAGATTGCGGTGTATTGCATTGATACTGCTTGCTGGACATAGGCCAAGCAACTGACAAACAAAATGTGGGACTTTTAAAGTTCCGGGAAGACTTTAACACATTTCCCAAAATAACAGCTTCCTCAAAAAGATGATCCTGCGAAAATCAGGACAGGTGGCAACCCTACTCGTAACAAATGTGGCCCCCGCTACCCTGTCAACCCCGGACAGAGGCGGCCATGCGAGCGGGCAGGCAGGCAGAGAGCGAGGCGGTGGACGTGGTGGACGTGGCACACCTGGAGAAGGTGCTGCCTCAGTTGGTGCGTGACTCCAGCATCACCATCACCCCTACTAATAACAACACATGCGCCACCACCACTCCGACCACCACATGCAACATCGCTTTAACCACAACCATCAGCACCACCACTATCATCACCACCTACACTATCACAACCACCCCACCTGGATTACCACCACCACCTGCACTCCCACTATCAGAGGGGCCCATGCCCAACAACGCTGCACCACTGGTGATCTGCTGTTTATTCCCACGTGGGTTTTGGCGGTTGTGCTGTACAGCTTTCTGATGTATGTTGAACTTCTTTCGCACTGTACGTAGCCAACCATGTTAATCGGAGGTACGGGGGAAGGACAACATACTATACAAAAAAAAACAGTTCTAAAGAAATTACTTTTCAATCTAGATTTAAAAGTACATTGCTCCAATGGGTTCCAAATATTGGAAGGAAAACCGTTTCAGACGGCCGCCGATGTGATTTCGGGGTATACCACAAGTAATTCTGTGTGATATCTGCCGTTTCGATCTTTTCCTTGATTAACCGATTGAGGGAGAGAGCTGTGTCTCGTTAGCTTGTCATTCGCTTAACCTGTTTGCGGTCCACAGCTCCTGGACTTTTGACCGTGGTGGACCGAGCCATCGGACCCAAGTGGAACATTTTTGTTGTTACGAATAAACTTAAGCTGTGAAGCGATATCTTTCCTCCTGTGTTTTCTCCGGCACGCTGGGTCCGGGAAGAGCAGCTGCTTGATATGCACCGGAATGGTGTTGACACTTTCTGTCGAAGCCGCTTCCCTCCACCCCTACCGACCTGTGGCGCGTTTTCTTCTGGTTTTGTTAGATCCCATCATTCCGTGTCTCTGCTGTGCCCTCCTGTCTGGTCCTCTGACTTCTCATCTGCACCCGTCTTCTCTGCGGTGGTTATTGTTAGTTTGCGTTATGCCGAATCCGTCTGCTCTGTATTTTCATCTTATCCAGGGCTTCCTCGTTTGCCTATTCCATTTGTCTCTTTTTATTGTATCAGGAAGCCTGTTTGTGGTATCCATCGTTCACAGATATCCGAATGATTGACTCGATAATCACTCCCCCATCTCTAGTTCTCGCTCACCAACCTCTTGCCCACTTTCATTTGCTAGTTCGCTCACAGGAATTCACTGGCAAGGATCTTATGCAGGCAACGCCGTCCAAACGTGCCTGATAATTACAGCCTCTTTGTCAACCCACTGCTAAATGAAGCCCACCACCCCCCCCCCCATCGTGTCAACTTTGGGTGGGTGGGGGGTGGGGTTGTTTGATCATACTTCACCACACTGGTCAGTAGGGGTTGGTGTGTGCTGTGGGGACTGCGGGCGCGGGTGTGGTGTGCTCAGGGTGGTTTCAGATGTCATTCGCCATCAGGGCCTCACGTCAGTATTGCGAGACTCCACATGGGTATCGAGGTGCAATACCGTGGCTTGCCAGCAGAACGCAGGGGAGCAAAGTGCTACCCTCTGACATGCTTGGGTTTTCTCTGCATGCTCCGGTTTCCTCGCACGTGTATAAACGCGTATTGATTGACTGAAAACGTCATAGTAAATTTATAACTATTGTTGATAGCGCCGGATCACCTCCCGGCAGCCTTCTAGCTGCCACGCGGTGATTGTGAGATGAAATTTTCATGAGCGACGCGATAAAAATTGAACGTTTACATTTTTTTTTCAGTGTTGAAGTCGGGAACCTAGAAAATATTTACGCAACCCGGCAGGCCGCATCCAGTATACCACTCGCCATGGCTGCAGCTACCACTGTTCACGTTGCTACTCCAGTCTCCCAGTGCCCCGTAACATGTTCTGTGTGAAGTTAAGTCCTCATCACTGATGTTAGCAGTGACCAGGAATCAAACGTGGCTTTCCAGGTGTAGCACAACTTGCATGTATACACACACGCGTGTGTATATGGATAAGATGGTGCTGTTCCGGCCTTAATAGGTGCTCCAACAGAACTTGCCCCAACAAATCCGTTATCGAGGCTACACGGGGGATCTTCGTGTCCACGCCTGCTGTGTCACCGGTGTGTGAGCTGAGCGCGTGGTGGGTTTGTGGTCGCGCTATAAATAATCTTATTTATAATTTTTATTTTTACGGAAAAAACCGCAGCGGCTTTGAGGTTAAAAACTCTCAGACGCGGAGGAGGCGCCGAGGTAGGGGGGGGGGGAGAGCCCAGGGAGGGCGGGGCAAGGGGGCCCGGATACCCACTCCCCCCACTAACCCCTCCGGCCAATGGTGCCCATGTATAGTAGCTAAGGGGGTGTCACGTTGAGTAGCGAAGGGGACTCTCGTGGAGTGGCTGAAGGGACCCAAGCGGAGTCGTAAAGATATCCACGTGAAGTGGCCAAGGGGATCCACGTGGAGTGGTCAGGGGGAGCCACCCAGGGGGCCTGTGATTAATTCGTATTTGTGGTGAAATGACTCCTTTCCTTCGAGATTCAATTAGATGTTACAATTCAGTTAAAAACTTAATTGTTCGACGTTGTGGTGAATATAGCGGCATCTAGTGCCGAGAGGGACCACGATTCAATTCACGTCCGGCGATCTTGATCATCGATATCAATCTGTAGAGCAATGTACATCCTTCATATGCATAATCAATTATGCATGATTGTGAATGTACCAGCTTTGTGTTGCGTGCTGAATCTGGTGGTGCAAAGTAAACTAACATTTTTTTTGATAAAAATACAAATGATGAACATTTACTAGTTGAAAATACGGTATTTGGGTGAGTCCGTGGGTGGATGGGTGAGTGTGTGGTTGCGTGGGTGTGTGTGGTTGGGTGGGTGAGTGTGTGTGTGGTTGGGTGGGTGAGAGCGATTCGATGCGTCTAACGCGAGCTCCATTTATTTCGGTCGATCAAACGATGGAGCCGTATTTCGTAGGGTGCGTGAGTGGGTACGGGGTGGACTTGCGTGTGGGTGTGGAAAGGATGGAGGGTGTGCGCGGGAGGGCGCGTGAGTAGACTCGTGCACGCATGAGTACGTGATTATGCAAGTTTATGGGTGAGTGGTCGGGTAGATATGTGGTAAGGAGTGGAGTTGTATAAGTAGGTGGGTGAGTGCTTGGTGAATGTGTGGTGTTGAATGGGTAAGTGCTGTGTGGCTGGGCGGTATATGAGACCGTGAATATACAATATACATATACGGGCAAGTGTGAGTCCGTGCTTAAGTGGGTAGATGGTTGGGTAAGTGCGCAGACGTGTGGAAGCTATTCATGGGCGTATCCGTGGGTATGTGCGTGATTGGGTGGACGTGTGAACGTGTTAGTGGTTGGGTCAGTAACTGCTTGGTTCGATGCATGGTTGGGTGTATGGGTGTGTGGTTGTGTGGGTGGGTGCGTCTGGTTGGGTGTGCGCGGATGTGAAGGGGGGTGTGTGGTTGGGTGGCTGTGTGTGGGTGAGTGCCAGAGGCAGCTGTACCCACACTAGCGCGTGATGGATTCGCAGAGCAAATGAAGCAGAGTTCGTCTCATTACGCACGACAAACAGCGTGGCCGGCGAGGATGGGGGAGCGAAACCATCAACACCACCATTAGCGGTTAGATAAAAAGAAAACGTTACTATAGTAGTAGTATTATTTCGCATGTTTACCCAGGAAAGTCTCGCCGAGTCTCGTGACTGTTTTGCAGGAGGGTCCTGTGTTAATTACTTGTGAGAGATGGATTGATGGGAGAGCTGAGACGATGGGAGAGCTGGGACGATGGGAGAGTTGGGGAGATGGGAGAGCTGGGACGGTGGGAGAGCTGGGACGGTGGGAGAGCTGGGACGACGGGAGAGCTGGGACGGTGGGAGAGCTGGGTAGATGGGAGAGCTGGGGAGATGGGAGAGCTGGGAAGATGGGAGAGCTGGGAAGATGGGAGAGCTGGGACGACGGGAGAGATGGGACTATGGGTTGATGGGAGAGCTAAGACGATGGGAGAGCTGGGACGACGGGAGAGCTGGGACGACGGGAGAGATGGGAGGATGAGAGAGCTGGGACGACGAGAGAGCTGGGACGACGAGAGAGCTGGGACGACGAGAGAGCTGGGACGACGAGGGAGCTGGGACGACGAGGGAGCTGGGACGATGGGATGGCTGGGACGACGAGAGAGCTGGGACGACGAGAGAGCTGGGACGATGGGATGGCTGGGACGACGAGAGAGCTGGGACGACGAGAGAGCTGGGACGATGGGATGGCTGGGACGATGAGAGAGCTGGGTTGATGGGCAAGCTGGCGCCACCCTGGGTTTTTTTGATGATGAAGTTGATTTAAACTCCGTGGCCCTGCGACCCAAGCCCCAGGAATGTGAGTCACGTAATAAGCGGCCGTGGCTCCAACAACAACCACAACCACCACCACAACAACAGCAACCACCACGGCGACATCAAACGCTAATGATGGTCATAACGATGCCAGTCGAGGGATGTGTGTCCCCCCGCTCGCCCCATCTACTCCCCCCCACCTCCTCCCTCCCGAGCCCCCAAACTGGGGGCCCGGGAATGCGTTCGTGGTCAGACACGTGGCGCCGGACTGGTCCACCTGTATAAACACGGGGAGCCGGGGAGGGGCGGGGGGCGGGGGAACGGGAGATGGCGAGGGGGGGGGGGGGCATGAGTTGGGTCGAGGGCTGGAGAGGAGGAATGGGGGGGTGTTTTTAATGACGATCACCAAATCCGAATGATCATCGACATCTCATTGCAAACATCATCAAATCCTACTCATCATATTATAATCATCTGATTCTCATCAACCAATCATTATCATCACGACACAATTCTACTCGGAATAAACTCTTAATGCATTCTAATCATCTCATTCTTATCGTCGTCATCATCATGAGATCCTGACGTCCATCACAATCATCGCGCGTCACGGCTCTGTCACGTGACACTGCGGGTGCTCTCCACTGCACTGTTTCAAATGGGGGTCAAGGGACGAGGGGTTAGGACTTTGAGTGAGGTTTAGCGGGTTAGTGTTGGGGTCGGCAGGTCAGAGTAAGGGTCACTGTTCACCACACTGGGTGGACCGTAGCGGGAAGCGTGGCGCATCCGTTGGCGGCCTCCACGCCGCCGCCGTTGACTGCTGATGGCACGGCTTCCGTGCGGTCGCTGGGACCATTCCGCGTGGGCTGTCGATGTGATCTGGCATTGGGGATTGACCTCACTGGCATCGCAGGTCTCCTGGGGTCAAAACCAAAACCCAGGCTCTTCCGTGACCCTTTTGTTTCGTTGTTCAACCCGGCGAAGTGAGGGACGCCAAAGACCAGGAATGAGCCTCACTGCCAGGGTGACCTGGCGCTTCAGACTGCCAGTCGGGGGGGTGGGAGGGGCGGCGATGATTGCGGTGTGTAGTCCCGACTGAGACACGTGCCGTGTAGATGCTTGTTACACCCCCCCCCCCCCAACCTCCGATTAGCACGGTTGGCTACGTACGGTGCGAAAGAAGTTCAACATACATTTTCGAATTTGGACCGCGACGCCGGCACACAATGCTCTATTCTTGCGAACGGCGTCGAGGGATCTTTAGCGGCCACTGTGAGTGTAGCAGGCGGCGCGTAGTCATTATTTTGGTTGCCACACCGGGAGTGTTAAGCAGGGCTTGCCGCTGGATTCGAACTGCGAAGCTCTGCAAAGACTGGCGAACTTGCGACAGTCGGGATTGCTGTGTAGTCTGCGTGTGATGAGAAG